TCTGGAATATTCGAAAACATGAGATTATTGCTGATCGATCTTCCTTCAAGGTCTAGTATCTTGCAACGGAGGTTATCATTCTCATTTTGTAATGACTGCATTTCTTTATTTAACGTCCCGCAGCTTTTATCAACCTTTGATACATCATTTTTAGCTTTTTCTATGTATTTGCTATGTTCCTCATATTCCTTGTTTATAAAACTGCACGATTTCTCGACATCTGATACACGGGCGTCAATATTTGAGATCTTTGTCTCCATTTCTGACATTTTTAGATTTATTGTATTTAATGTTTGTTCTATGTTAGTTATACTTTGTAAAACTGTTTTTAATATGTTCATGTCTTCTAGTAGTTCAGAGGCCCATAGCTTTTCAAATTTGGTTAGAATCAAACTTGTGTAATTTGAGCATTGTTAAAAAGAAAACTATAACAGTACTGATAATTGATTACGCATTTTGTCATAATGAATATTTATTAATATGTGAAAATGACTTGTCCATACAGGCCAAAAGATGTTTTGTCTTTCTCCGCAAAAACGTTATATTTTTTGATGTCCTGATACAGTATTTTAGACAATGACATACTAGCAATATAGCTAAACTATCATTTGCTTCTTTAGCGTTTTGACATTAAGTATTAGGTTATTTATTTTTTTTGTGTGTACGGAAATCAAAATACTTCCTTGTTTATATTTTGTTTCTTTTCTGACTGATTATTTCTCATTCAGCGTTTATATATCCAATACAATATGCAATATACAATATGCAATTAACATGCTCTAAATCTTTTACAAAATCATTATTAAAAACATGTTTTCCCAGTCAAAATACACACACAAAAATTTCTATGGCTAAATGTACCTTTTAATAACTAACAGGATGAGAAATTACATAGATTGACGTGATCAGAACACATCTATTTTACACATTTAATGTTGACTGAAACATTTTACTTGTGTGCATGAAATATAGAATATATGGTGGCTGATTTCTCCCATTTCGTTTTGAAAGCCCTTATAACAGCAACTAAACGAAATAAAGAAATGGTCACCTTAAGAATAAGATATTTTAGATAATTGCTTTTGTAAATGTAGATAATGTTATAAGTGAATTATATCAAATATGACTATAATGGGATATTGTCTTAATGGAATATTGTGAAACGGGCTATGTCCTAGTGAGTCACTTTCCTTATGGGCTATTGTCCTACAATCTTCAATTGTAGAGGGGTAAATATATGACTATGAAATAATGGCATGTCGAAATTTATCAACAGCATGAAAAAGAAAGCAAAATTAAATTAAACTATTTTTTTAACTTGGGTTTGTTTTTGTTCAGCGTTTTGTTCATTTGAAAAGTCGATTACAGAACTTAACCTTATAAAGCAAAACTTTAACTGGACCACCAGCATATTCCTTAAAGTAAAAACGGGAAGGCAGATCCTGACAGATCATTTCCACCGTTTTTGATACTTGTATCCAATATCACTTTGCCGGTGTATTGATGTTATTTCGATTGTATGATGGGGTTAACGCTGCCTAAAAATGTGTGAATGTATAGGGGACAAGCAGTTAGGTAATTCGCTTTTGCTCAATACAGTAATTGTAGCAAATCATAAGTCCTGCAAGTTTAGATAACTTGAGACTTAAATTTTTTGTTTTTTGTTTAATCACAAGTTTGTTTGCATTTTTGGATTATTTGAAAACCATATATTTGCCGTATGTGCGAAGTTAGCAGTTAACAGTGAGCTAAGCAAAAAGGCATTACGATTTATATAGGTAAATCAATGATCTGCTGTTATGCTCAGCTGGGTAAGCAATCTAGCAAAGCAATCCAAAATAAAGTGTAGAAATGCTCTGCTGGATTGATTAGATTGCTTAGCCAGCTAGGCATAACAACAGAGCAATTTTACACTATATTTGGGAAAGCCCTGCTAGATTGCTTAGCCAGCTGAGTATACCAGCAGAGCATTTATACACTTTATTTTGGAATGCTCTGCTGAAATTGTCTAGCCAGCTGAGCAGTTTTAACACTTTTTTTAGGAATACCCTTCTAGATTACCTAGCCAGCTGAGCAATTGAGAAGAGCATTTTTACACTATATTTTGGAATGTCCCGCTAGATTGCTCAGCCAGCTGAGCATAACAGCAAAGCATTTTTTAAACTATATTTAAGAATGCACTGCTAGATTGCCTAGTCAGCTAAGCATACCAGCAGATCATTTTTACACTATATTTTTGAATACTCTCCTAGATTGCTTAGCCAGCTGAGCATAACAGCAAAGCATTTTTACATTATATTTTGGAATGTCCCGCTAGATTGCTTAGCCAGTTGAGCATAACAGCAGAGCATTTTACACTATATGTAGGAATGCCCTGCTAGATTACCTAGCTAGCTGAGCATACAAGCAGATCATTTTTACAATATATTTTGGAATGCCCCACTTGATTGCTTAGTCAGCTTAGCATTTCAGCAGAGCATTTTACACTATAATTAGCAATGCCCTGCTAGATTGCCTAGCCAGCTTAGCATTCCAGCAGAGCATTTTTACACTATATTCAGTAACGCCCTGCTAGATTGCCTAGCCAGCTTAGCATTCCAGCAGAGTATTTTTTACACTATATTTAGTAACGATTTGCTAGATTGCCTAGCCAGCTTAGCATTCCAGCAGAGCATTTTACACTATATTTTGTAACGCCCTGCTCGATTGCCTAGCCAGCTTAGCGCTCCAGCAGAGCATTTTTACACTATATTAAGTAATGCCCTGCTAGATTGCCTAGCCAGCTTAGCATTCCAGCAGAGCATTTTTACACTTTATTTAGTAATGCCCTGCTAGATTGCTTACCCAGCTTAGCATTCCAGCAGAGCATTTTTACACTATATTAAGTCATGCCCTGCTAGATTGCCTAGCCAGCTTAGCATTCCAGCAAAGCATTTTTACACTATATTTAGTAATGCCCTACCAGATTGCCTAGCCAGCATAGCATTCCAGCAGAGCATGTTACACTATATTTAGTAACGCCTTGCTAGATTGCCTAGTCAGCTTAGCTAGGCAGCTGAGCATTCCAGCAGGGAATTTAACACTATGTTTAGTAATGCACTGCTAGATTTGCTAGCCAACTGAGCGTTCCAGCAGAGCATTTTTTCACTATAGCTAGGAATGCTCTGCTATATTGCCAAGACAGCTGAGTATTGCAGCAGGGCATTTTTTCACTATATTTAGGAATTCCCCGCTAGATGCCCAAAATAGCTGATTATTACAGCAGATCATTGACTTCCCTATATAAATTGAAATGCCTTTTTGCTTAGCTCACTGATCACTGCTAACTTCTAACATACGTATAAGTTTTACATGTGGACTGTTTGTGTAAAAACATCATGTGAATGTTGCTTAAAGGGGGATGTAATACTCGGGTGATATTTTACTCATAAATGGTCATTATGAAAGATTTTTCTATCAAATTTGAATTAATTTATTGATTTTATGGAGTTCTTAATGACGTTAACCATAGTGCAGATTATACCAAAATGTTATAAAGTTTAAAATACATGGAATTTCAACAAGTTGTTAAAAATTTCTGACTTCAATATGCTTTGTTAACTGTGTGTTTTTGTTAGAAAAATAATGAGAGATGTTTTTAGATTACTTTTTGCTGACATGTATATAATCATATATTTTGTTATAAAATGTTTGCATACAATTACTTGATACATGTATACTAATGTAAGAAATGACAACATATTAACTGTTAATAATAACAGCTCCTACCATGTGCCACAAGAAAGGCATTTCATCAGAGACAACGCCGTGTCGCCAATATATCACTACATTCTAAGTATAGAAGATATTGAATGAGTGTAGGTTTAATACTAAATTTATTGAACGAGTGGAATAAAATCATATTATGCGAGCATAATATTGTTTTATTCAACGAGTTCAATAAATTTAGTATTGAATTTACACGAATACATGTATAATATTCTATTTATCACATATATAAAATAAGAACGGTAAACTGTTATCAAGAGTCATTTTTCTTTGACGCGCCTATAGTGTAACGCTAACATTAACGCGCTTTAACGCTATGTTTATAGCGCAAATGCCGTGACGTCAAAGTGTTATTACACAAGTGTAATATTGTCTAGTGTAATATCGTTTTTATTAAATGGCTTTATCACACCCCCGTGCCGATTTTGCGACTCCGTAAATATTGTATTGCATGGCCGTGCATATATTTTGACGTGGCGTCATTAGCGTTATACAAACATGGTGTAGGGACACGCTACATGTTAGCGTTATACTATATGCGCGTCAATGAAAATGACTCTTTTTTCACTTTAAACGGTCTTTATTTTGGATATGTGATAAATAGAGGATACTAAATGAGTGTAAGTTCATTACTGAATTTATTGCACTCGTTGAATAAAATAATATTATGCTCGCCAGAGGCTCGCATAATATAATTTTATTCAACTCGTGCAATAAATTCAGTATTGAACTTACACTCATTTGGTATCCTCTATTTATTACACTCCTGCGCCGCGGTTTATGTGATAAAATAAAATACCCGACGTTTAAAATAAAGTCAGAGCCAACAGACTTGTTACGTTTAACGTATTTAATTGCACATAATAGATATTTAATTAACAACTATAACGCTTAACGAATACAATGTGATTGGTAGCTTTATGCATGACCTTTGCTTTATTATATCAAATCATTGTAGAGGATGAACTGCTTGAGAGTGGTTGATCAAGAAATATTTAATTTTCATGTTTGATAAATAAGTTTATAATGATAATAATAATATAATTATGAATATACTTGTAGTAGTAATGACACATATAATAAAGACAAAACTTACTTGACTTCAAGGACGAAGCATTGTACACAATACAAATAACATATCTTGATTTTAAAAATGGCCCTTTCAAGTTTGTTTGAAGCTTAAACACGAACGTTACATTTTCGTATTTTTTGTTGGTTCTAAAATGTGTCCAATAATCTAATGAATATAATATACATGTATAGATATAACAGGTTAAAATCTCTCTAAATACTTGACACCCGTATACATCTATACACATGTATATATATTTGCAGTTTCTGCCGACACTGAAGGACCAAAGTGCGACCCGCCATGGGAAAAACTTCACATGACGTGTGTTCAGTTGATGAAAGCGAAGCCATTTTTAACTTGGCAAAAAGCTCGCGATTCCTGTATTAGTATGAATGCTGACCTTCTCAGTGTTAACGACAAAGAGGAAAATGTAAGTGCTTATAATATTTATGAATGTTTAATTTCCGATTGTTCCCTTATGTTTGCACAGTTACTGGGTATTGCATTAAATTATGATGGCGTCACAATGACGACAAAAAACAAGTCGTTCTATAGACTTGTTCCTTGAGTCAGATTCATACTGACGGATCATTTTGCATTCAGAAAAGCCAAATTTACTGATGCCTCTTAAGGCTGAATGGTAGCCTTTACGAGCTGATGCATCAGAATTGCAGCCACCGTTTTACCGTGCGTGGTTGTAAGAGGTGACAAAATGAGTTCGATTTACTTGAGTCTTTGCATGTTTTCAGGGAAAGTTGAATCCTTTAGTGAGGGCACATATACGTAGTAGGGACTTACTCCAGTGGTGGATTGGAATACGTGAAGTTGGACACTCATGGCTGTGGTTGGATAATGACGAGAAATATGCAAAAATACCGTACGTTCGTTTTAACTGATTTACACAGATTTATATACTTGATGGTTATAAAATGCATTATTTTTTAATGTGTTACTCTGTTAACAATAACTTATCAAAACTAAAATAGGATGTAAATAAAAACACAGAAAAAGGTAATGCAAAAGTAAACTTTTCAAGTTAAATACATGAAAAGGAAAGTAATATCTCTCTTTCATTTTTTAATAGACCCTGTACTTGTTTTTCCATGAGATGGAAAGGTCTATTATTTTGAATATTAAAAAATATACAGACGCGTAATCGTTAAAATAAGGCTATGTCCAAACTATTTATTAATTGAAAAGGTAAATACACTCAGGAGAGCAACTTCCAAGAAAAAGGATATTGCAATATCATTGACATAGAAGAAGAGTTCCATTTCATTCTGAAACGTAGAAAATATGACGATTTTCATACAAGAGTTGGGAAATATTCATACGAAAATCCTAGCAAATTTAAAGAACTATTGAATCAAACAATCAATACTTAAGAAACTTGCTCTTGATATAATAAAATTTCCTTTATACACAAAAGGCTTTTTAAGGTTTATGTTAGATATGAAATAAGACAATTTTTTTCTCTGATTTTTTTTCTGTATCTCTACTTATAATTGTTTATTTCAGTCAATTATAATTACGTATTTGTAGATAATTGCACTATATGAATAGCGTATTTAATTTATTGGGTTTTTTTCCACTGTTATTACTTGTAATTATGTAGCTATGTTAAATCCATCACCATACTTTTCTGTACTTAAATAGTATGTATGTTTTGTACATGTATTTATTACTAAATTTGTAATTGTATATATGCAATGTTTTATGTTGAATTATAAACCTACATTCATAAAACTTGGCGATGAACGTGTAAAATGTTTATGACAATAAACTATTTGACTTGACTTTGACTATGTAATTGACTATGTAATTATCTGCTTATGTCTAAGAGCTTTTGATGCTTAAGACAAATAAACTTATGCTATTGTATGTTAAATATTAATTAAATGGACTATTCTGTTTCATTTCTATTCACTGTATACAAAAGAAATATCTTTTTTTTCATTTTGTTAAAAATATTCTTGCATGTATAATTAATTTCTAATAAAATATATTTCATACTATATACTTTAGAACTATTTCTTCATAATTGTATGGGTTTTTATATTTGCACATGCATGTATGCTAAATATACAGAACAATTTTGAGTTTGACTTTCGAAATTAGCAACTGAGCAATCGGATAATAAAATATATGAACTTCTTTTTCATTTTTCTTTTATGGAAACTGACATTGCCAGTTGTTTAAAAAATAATATTGATCAATATATTTCAGTGAATGGGCCGCTGGTTCGGGGCGTTTTCAAAGCACACCAGACAACAAATGTGGACTTTTTACTTTCAAAGGAACACTGGAAGAAGCGGAATGCGAACAAGAGAAACCTTACATATGTGAAAAATTTAATAAAGGTAACTAATGCCAAAAAAGTGCTTTAATCATATATTTTTATCTTATGTACCTTAAAATCTCATTTTTTTATTTTTTGATCGCAGATCAGGAAATACAATGCTGACATTCAATCTCAGGAACAGCGCTTCCCGACAATTCTAACAACAAAAGCAGTTCTCAGAACAGCTCAAACGAAAGAAATATTTTTATTTTGTTACAAGTATCCAGCGAATTATACCGCATTCAAAGTTTAAAAGTAGCTTTGGTTTATAGAATTGTCAATAAATGCACAGTCACAAATTACGTGGAATCAATGAATATTGCTCAGCTATTTCCGTAAAGTTTCGGATTATTGTGATCGCCTAAATGAAAATTTGTTATTTAGACTTTCTGAAAAATAAAGTAAAGATGTTGACTCTAAGACATTGACGAATTTAGGCAGTCGACGATCGACAATCAATTTCTACCATAAGTAACGGTCTTATAAGTTAAGCACCCGATAATTTAATCAACGTAAAAATTTGAGTCGGTGACCCCCTAATTTTTATAGTTATTTTGACTAAGTATACATTTTAAAGGACGTTTAAAGAAAAAAATCAAAAATTTATTTCAGGAATTTTTTAATAAGCCGATTTGAAGCCTAAAAATGCGGCTAAACTGAACGTCAAATTTTACACAAAATTAACAATTTTCTTCCCATTACTCAAACAATTTTTGGCGTAAAACAATAAATTTTATATCTGCTAAAAGGAAAAAATAATTTCCGTCCAATGCTGTAAAATTTAAGATATTTTATCCGCCAATGGCCTTGAAATACCCGTAACAGTTGCCAAGGATACGCAACGACGTCATGTTCAAAAACGGGCTTTGATGGTCAACTTTGACGCCGTGTGTACAAAAATTGGCTGAAACTATTGAAATAAAATCAACGGAACCTAATCAGAAATATGGTCAACTTTTTGCATGCAAATGTTCTAGACGCTACTCGAAAGTTCGCAAAGTGTCGCGCTCTACCTTAAGCGCGTATTACACTAAGAGTAGTGAAATATTATATAATATAGTATATTCATGTCGGACTGTTTGGGCGAGATGATTTTGCGTAATCATTTACATCAGTGTTAAACAACAGGTTTACCGTGATCAAAATATCTCGAAATTAATAAGGATTACAAGCCCTAATTTAGAATAATGTAGTTTGCTTCAGACTGTTTTTATCCAGGGGTAACACGCTCGTTTAGAAAGCGAGAGGTCTGGGGTTCAAATCCCAGTCAAGGCAACTCATGTTTTTTGTGTGGTTTTTTTGTTTTATTTTTTGTTGTTGTTTTTTAAGTATTTTTAGCGATTTTAACATTCTTTCTTAAGGAATTAGCCACGATATGCAAGGATAAAGTGTAGCTGTCATAAATGATTCCATAATGCAAGTTAGAAACTCTGGTCATGAAAACTTCCGTATGTATCAAACTCAAACTGCGAAAATCTAAACGCAGTCGCTGCAACTCGGTGCCCTACAAGATGAATTATAGTATTTCAAATTAAACTTATACAGGAAAATACATACAGATACTGTACGATTTAGATTGCAAAGATCAAAAAATACCACAGAGCTTGAAGCCCTTTGATTATATCAGTAAAGCGATAAATTTATTTCATTCGATGTATAGATGTACTAATTCTTGCTCTGAAAAGTAAAATTATATTTGATACTTTCATAGCGAAATTATCAAAACATAATTTCTAAGTAGCCAAACTAAATTTCGAATGCGAATTAAAAGAATATATTATAAATTAATGGAAATTTAGGCAGACATACTTCGTAAGTTCATAGAAAACTGCGAACGATTGATCAATTGCAACAAAATTAGAGACATTTAACAGCTTTGTGTTACATTGCGATATAATACTCCGGCGACAGATGTACTCTGAGAAGCTGTGAACGTTTAGAAGGTCTTCTCCAAATCCTTCCAGAGGCGTGCACCTCGCGGAGAAGGCACACGGCAGGTCAAGGTCAAGTCATCTCAAGTACCAAATGTGATTGGTTGACCTGTCGTGACTAACTCTGGAGGGTTGGCGCTAACGAAGACCGTTTTTGTTATGTTGATGCCTTGACAATAATGTCGTCTCCTTTACCACCAACGAACGAGGAATGGGCTACAAGGAAGATTCTGCTTGAAAAAGACGTCCCCGTTGAGACTACCGTAGTGGACCGGCAAGGATGCTATAATTTCGGACATATGGTTATTCCGGCGCCGAGAATAAATAAACTTAAACACACACACACACACACACTTTAGAAGGTGTGAGTCGGAACAGAATGAATGCAATTTGACGAGTCGTTGAGAATAGTTGGTAAGTTGTCAGTTTCTCCAACTTTTATGTTTCTTTTATAATTGCAATAATTTTTGTCCATCTTTACTATTTTTTCTAATGGTTTGTTTTGTCTTATAATTTTAGAATTTAGAAAATGTGTACTGACTCTTTCAGATGAAGAGCTGATGGTACTCACTAGTGGTCACCACATTTATGGAGTCTGATTGACGGATAGTTGTTTCAAATAAATGTAGTCTTATTGACAGATAGCACCACGTAAATAGAATGAAATGGACAGATAGCACGACATGTATGGAGACTAATTGACGGCATAACATTAATAGAGTCTGATTAAGAGGTGACACCACAATTATAGAGTCTGAATGACAGATAGCACCACATTTATGTACTATGATTGAATGATAGCACCACGCTTATGGAGTATGATTGGAAGATAGCACCACATTTATATTACTAGCTATAGTAAAAAAAATGCTCTGCTGGAACGCTCAGCTGGCTAGGCAATCTAGCAGTGCATTACTAAATATAATGTTAACGTTGTAAAATGATTCTTATAGAATAATGACCCCTGGTCATTATTTTATATAAAATAGGGACCCCTTCTATAAAATACTGACCTCTTTATATATAAAATAATGACCCCCTATTTCATCTATAAAATATTGACCTCCACCTAGCATACTTTTTAAAGTCAACGTCATATTTTAATTGCGTATACTTGTTGTTGTTCTTGTTGTGCCTGTTTCTGCTTCTGGTATTGTTGCAGCTGCTGCCGCGACAACAGCTGACAAAACAAGGCTAAAATTAGGAGGGTCCGCTAAGAAAAAGCGATAAGTTAAGGAATGTTATATATCATTAAAACTTGCGAACATGAAGTTTTACGCAGATTTGATTCAGCATAGTTCTAGTCAGCTTATGGAGATAAATTACTTATCATTAGGTATGGAAAAAAAAAAACAACAACCCCCCCCCCCAAAAAAAAAGCAACAACAAAAAACAACAAAAACATGAATCGTAGTTACAAACCAACAACAAATACGCACAATATTTGGTTTGAAGTGATCTATGATTTTACCTTCAAGTAAGCAAAAAACAAACATCTATGAAACTCTTAATACATGAATCAATAGTGTTAAAACGGAGGAAATGGATACATACTATTTAAAATGAATTGGAAATAAACCACGAAAATGAAATACTGTTCTTATAAGCTAAACGCTATTAACACTACGCTTATTCTGGTTAACATATATTCTTTTTTATTGTAAGAAAATACAGATCACGACTTTCGCATTTTGTTGGAACAGAGCACGGCTAGTTTTAAGGTAGACCATGGGTAATGGGAACCATAAGGAACTGTAAAATTGACAACATAGGACAGTTATATGTCTTCAAGGTCACCTGTATGCAAAATTTAAATAAAATTTACCGTGTGGTTTATGAGTTATGGATATATTTCTGAACTATGACTTTGCCATTAGAAGGATTACTTTCAGAAATGAGGAAACTCTAAATATTCTGTAATATCATCATTATAAAAAATGGTTTTCTATTGCCCATTGTTAAGAAACAAATAATAACATGCAGGTAACAAAATACAAAAGCAAAATGTTTGTTTCTAAATAAAATGTTCTCAATATGTATAAAAATGTTACCCTCCCCCACCCACTTTAAACACTAATTTTACCATTTCCCTATCTAAAATGCCTTATTCAAAATATTCCTAAAATTTACCATAATGAGGGGCTGTTTTCAAAGTTTGGCTTAATTTACTTTAAGGTATATTGGTTGATCATGCGAAATATAAAATACTTTTACCGTGTAGTTTTTATCTTATTAAACTTTGAAAATATCTGGTATCATATTTGCAATAAATTTTGACATTCTTCAGCAAATAAATACCTACAATAATTATATAATTTAAATCAAACCTTTTTTTTCTTCCATAAGGAATCAGAGAGACACATTAATAATGTTAAAAAGAAAAAAAAAGAAAAAAAAAACACGCCCCTCAATTTCAACGTCCTTTGCAACCGATTTTAACCTATTTGACTACTCTTCAAAGTGAAGGTAATGCATTACCCATGGTCTACCTTAATCTAAGTTTCAATTTGCCAAAACAAAATTATAATAAAAAAGAATATATATATAAATACCACATTAACCCAAAATAGTTATTTTGTGGCGTTTTAATGTCAATTTAAATAAACGATTGGTTTTACAGCATAACGTTACAATGATTATGTTGATCATTATAAAATCATTTTACTTTTTCTTCCAGATATACCGGAGCCAATTGATTACCAAGATTCTTATGAAAATGATAAAACGCAGGATGGAAGTTCAGGTAAACATTAGAAAACATTAGAAAGGTACCACAAAAAATGTTTCATATAGGAAAACACCCCGCATCTGGAAATTTTCTTTCTCATATATATATATATATATATATATATATAATATATATATATATATATATATATATATATATATATATATATATATATATATATATATATATATATATATATATATATATATCTTTTGCCTAATTGTATTAATTCAAGTACTATTATATACAAAATGTCAACCCTATTTTACTTATCAAACATACTACTGTCTTGTAATTACTGTAAATAGTACTGCTAATATACTTACTCGTATATGTCATTACAATTGTAATATATACCAATTTGGTATTAAAGGGGCACGTCCCCAGATATGAATAAAATATCAGACTAATCACGTAATTTTTACGCTTGACAATATTTTAAACTCATTTGTAGCATTCGTATAAATTTACGTAAAAATTACAGAAATCTTTGAGACGTGCTGCTTTAAATCAAATTACATTATAACGAAGAAAAAATGCACAATAATCTATAATAAGATATAGACCAGTATGCCTGTATGATTTTGTCGTAATTAGCAACTTCATTTTCATAAAATATTTGATACTTTACCATGACCTACGCACTAGACATTCAGTTCAACTTCATATTCATGTATAATTATATACATAATGTAGAAAAGAACACTGATATAAAGGACTGCCAGTTTATCTTATAGAGTTGATACGTGCACATTATCCTACGAGAGTTGACTCGTGCTGATTGTCTTATAGAGTTGACTCGTTCAGATTATGTAATAATAGATTTGTCACGTGTAGATTCTCTTATAGAGTAGACTCGTGCAGATTCTCTTATGGAGTTGACAAGTGCAAATTATCTTAAATAGTTGACACGTGCTGATTATCTTATAGAGTTGTCACGTGCTTATTTCTCATAGAGTTGCCTCGTGCAGATTATGTTATAGAGTTGACACGTGCAGATTATCTTAAAGAGTGACACGTGCTGATTATCTTAAAGAGTTGACATGTGCTGATTATCTTATAGAGTTGACACGTGCAAATTATGTTATAGAGTTGTCACGTGCAGATTATGTTATATAGTTGACCCGTGCAGATTATGTTATAGAGTTGACTCGTGGAGATTCTCTAAAAGAGTTGACTCGTGTTGATTCTCTTATAGAGTTGACTCGTGCAGATTCTCTTATAGAGTTGACTCGTGCAGATTATGTTATAGAGTTGACACGTGCGTGCAGATTCTCTTACAGAGTTGACCCGTGCATATTCTCTTATAGAGTTGACTCGTGGAGATTCTCTTATGGAGTTGACTCGTGTTGATTCTCTTATAGAGTTGACTCGTGCAGATTTTGTTAAAAGAATTGACTCGTGCATATTCTCTTATAGAGTAGACTCGTGCAGATTATGTTATAGAGTTGACTCGTGCAGATTCTCTTATTGAGTTGACTCGTGCAGATTCTCTTATAGACTTGATTCGTGCAGATTATGTTAAAAGAGTAGACTCGTGCAGATTCTCTTATTGAGTTGACTCGTGCAGATTCTCTTATAGAGTTAACTCGTGCAGATTATGTTAAAAGAGTAGACTCGTGCAGATTCTCTTATAGAGTTGACTCGTGTTGATTCTCTTATAGAGTTGTCTCGTGGAGATAATGTTAAAGAGTTGACTCGTGTTGATTCTCTTATAGAGTAAACTCGTGGAGATAATGTTATAGAGTTGACTCGTGTTGATTCTCTTATAGAGTTGACTCGTGCAGATTCTCTTATAGAGTTGACTCGTGCAGATTATGTTATAGAGTTGACACGTGCAGACTATGTTATAGAGTTGACTCGTGCAGATTCTCTTACAGAGTTGACCCGTGCATATTCTCTTATAGAGTTGACTCGTGGAAATTCTCTTATGGAGTTGACTCGTGTTGATTCTCTTATAGAGTTGACTCGTGCAGATTATGTTAAAAGAATTGACTCGTGCATATTCTCTTATAGAGTAGACTCGTGCAGATTATGTTATAGAGTTGACTCGTGCAGATTCTCTTATTGAGTTGACTCGTGCAGATTCTCTTATAGAGTTGATTCGTGCAGATTATGTTAAAAGAGTAGACTCGTGCAGATTCTCTTATTGAGTTGACTTGTGCAGATTCTCTTATAGAGTTGACTCGTGCAGATTATGTTAAAAGAGTAGACTCGTGCAGATTATGTTAAAGAGTTGACTGACTCGTGCAGATTATGTTATACAGTTGACATGTCTAGATTCTCTTATTGAGTAGACACGTGCTTATAATCTTATAGAGTTGACACATGCTGATTATCTTATTGAGTTGTCACGTGCAAATTCTCTAATAGATTAGACTCGTGCAGATTATGTTATAGAGTTGACTCGTGTTGATTCTCTTATAAAGTTGACTCGTGCAGATTATGTTACAGAGTTAACTCGTGAAGATTCCTTTATGGAATAGACTCGTGCAGATTATGTTATAGAGTTGACTCGTGAAGATTCCTTTATGGAATAGACTCGTGCAGATTATGTTATAGAGTTGACTCGTGCAGATTCTCTTATAGAGTTGACTCGTGCAATTTTGTTACAGAGTTGACTCTTGAAGATTCTCTTAAAGAGTTGATTCGTGCAGATTATGTTATAGAGTTGACACCTGCAGATTCTCTTATAGAGTTGACTCGTGCAGATTCTCTTATAGAGTTGATTCGTGCAGATTATGTTATAGAGTTGACTCGTGCAGATTCTCTTATAGAGTTGACACGTGCAGATTATGTTATAGAGTTGAAATATCTCTAAATACTTGACACCCGTATACATCTATACACATGTATATATATTTGCAGTTTCTGCCGACACTGAAGGACCAAAGTGCGACCTGCCATGGGAAAAACTTCACAGGACGTGTGTTCAGTTCATGATAGCGAAGCCATTTTCAACTTGGCAAAAAGCTCGCGATTCCTGTATTAGTATGAATGCTGACCTTCTCAGTGTTAACGGCAATGAGGAAAATGTAAGTGCTTATAATATTTATGAATGTTTAATTTCCGATTGTTCCCTTATGTTTGCACAGTTACTGGGTATTGCATTAAATTATGATGGCGTCACAATGACGACAAAAAAAAACAAGTCGTTCTATAGACTTGTTCCTTCAGTCAGATTCATACTGACGGATCATTTTGCATTCAGAAAAGCCAAATTTACTGATGCCTCTTAAAGGCTGAATGGTAGCCTTTACGAGCTGATGCATCAGAATTGCAACCACCGTTTTACCGTGCGTGGTTGTAAGAGGTGACAAAATGAGTTCGATTTACTTGAGTCTTTGCATGTTTTCAGGGAAAGTTGAATCCTTTAGTGAGGGCACATATACGTAGTAGGGACTTACTCCAGTGGTGGATTGGAATACGTGAAGTTGGACACTCATGGCTGTGGTTGGATAATGACGAGAAATATGCAAAAATACCGTACGTTCGTTTTAACTGATTTACACAGATTTATATACTTGATGGTTATAAAATGCATTATTTTTTAATGTGTTACTCTGTTAACAATAACTTATCAAAACTAAAATAGGATGTAAATAAAAACACAGAAAAAGGTAATGCAAAAGTAAACTTTTCAAGTTAAATACATGGAAAGGAATGTAATTATTCTCTTTCATTTTTTAATAGACCCTGTACTTGTTTTTCAATGAGATGGAAAGGTCTATTATTTTGAATATCAAAAAATATACAGACGCGTAATCGTTAAAATAAGGCTATGTCCAAACTATTTATTGATTGAAAAGGTAAATACACTCAGGAAAGCAACTTCCAAGAAAAAGGATATTGTAATATCATTGACATAGAAGGAGAGTTCCATTTCATTCTGAAAAGTAGAAAATATGACGATTTTCATACAAGAGTTAGGAAATACTCATACGAAAATCCTAGCAAATTTAAAGAACTATTGAATCAAACAATCAATACTTAAGAAATTTGCTCTTGATATAATAAAACTTCCTCTATACACAAAAGGCTTTTTAAGGTTTATGTTAGATATGAAATAAGACAATGCTTTTCTCTGATTTTTTTTCTGTATCTCTACTTATAATTGTTTATTTCAGTCAATTATAATTACGTATTTGTAGATAATTGCACTATATGAATAGCGTATTTAATTTATTGTTTTTTTCCCACTGTTATTACTTGTAATTATGTAGCTATGTTAAATCCATCACCATACTTTTCTGTACTTAAATAGTATGTATGTTTTGTACATGTATTTATTACTAAATTTGTAATTGTATATGCAATGTTTTATGTTGAATTATAAACCTACATTCATAAAAACTTGGCGATGAACGTGTAAAATGTTTATGACAATAAACTATTTGACTTGACTTTGACTATGTAATTGACTATGTAATTATCTGCTTATGTCTAAGAGCTTTTGATGCTTAAGACAAATAAACTTATGCTATTGTATGTAAAATATTAATTAAATGGACTATTCTATTTCATTTCTATTCACTGTATACAAAAGAAATATCCTTTTTTCATTTTGTTAAAGATATTCTTGCATGTATAATTAATTTCTAATAAAATATATTTCATACTTTATACTTTAGAACTATTTCTTCATAATTGTATGGGTTTTTATATTTGCACATATATGTATGCTAAATATACAGAACAATTTTGAGTTTGACTTTGGAAATTAGCAACTGAGCAATCGGATAATAAAATATATGAACTTCTTTTTCATTTTTCTTTTATGGAAACTGACATTTCCAGTTGGTTAAAAAATAATATTGATCAATATATTTCAGTGAATGGGCCGCTGGTTCGGGGCGTTTTCAAAGCAAACCAGGAAAATGTGGACTTTTTACTTTCAAAGGAACACTGGAAGAAGCGGAATGCGAACAAGAGAAACCTTACATATGTGAACAATTTAAAGGTAACTAATGCCAAAAAAGTGCTTTAATCATATATTTTTATCTTATGTACCTTAAAATATCATTTTTTTTGTATTTTTTGATCGCAGATCAGGAAATACAATGCTGACATTCAATCTCAGGAACAGCGCTTCCCGACAATTCTAACAACAAAAGTAGTTCTCAGAACAGCTCAAACGAAAGAAATATTTTTATTTTGTTACAAGTATCCAGCGAATTATACCGCATTCAAAGTTTAAAAGTAGCTTTGGTTTATAGAATTGTTAATAAATGCTCAGTCACAAATTACGTGGAATCAATGAATATTGCTCAGCTATTTCCGTAAAGTTTCGGATTATTGTGATCGCCTAAATGAAACTTTGTTATTTAGACATTCTGAAAAATAAAGTAAGGATGTTGACTCTAGGACATGGACGAATTTAGGCAGTCGACGATCGACAATCAATTTCTACCATAAGTAACGGTCTTATAAGTTAAGCACCCGATAATTTAATCAACGTAAAAATTTGAGTCGGTGACCCCCTAATTTTTATAGTTATTTTGACTAAGTATACATTTTAAAGGACGTTTAAAGAAAAAAATCAAAAATTTATTTCAGGAATTTTTAATGAGCCGATTTGAAGCCTAAAAATGCGGCTAAACTGAACGTCAAATTTTACACAAAATTAACAATTTTCTTTCCATTACTCAAACAATTTTCGGCGTAAAACAATAAATTTTATATCTGCTTAAAGGAAAAAATAATTTCCGTCCAATGCTGTAAAATTTAAGATATTTTATCCGCCAATGGCCTTGAAATACCCGTAACCGTTGCCAAGGATACGCAACGACGTCATGTTCAAAAACGGGCTTTGATGATCAACTTTGACGCCGTGTGTACAAAAATTGGCTGAAACTATTGAAATAAAATCAACGGAACCTAATCAGAAATATGGTCAACTTTTTGCATGCAAATGTTCTAGACGCTACTCGAAAGTTCGCAAAGTGTCGCGTTCTACCTTAAGCGCGTTTACACTAAGAGTAGTGAAATATTATATAATATAGTATATTCATTTTGGACTGTTTGGGCGAGATGATTTTTGCTAAATCATTTACATCAGTGTTAAACAACAGGTTTACCGTGATCAAAGTATCTCGAAATTAATAAGGATTACAAGCCCTAATTTAGAATAATGTAGTTTGCTTCAGACTTTTTTTTATCCAGGGGTAACACGCTCGTTTAGGAAGCGAGAGGTCTGGGGGGTTCAAATCCCAGTCAAGGCAACTCATGTTTTTTGTGTGTTTTTTTGTTTTGTTTTTTTGTTGTTGTTTTTTTAAAGTATTTTTTGCGATTTTAACATTCTTTCTTAAGGAATTAGCCACGATATGCAACGATAAAGTGTGGCTGTCATAAATGATTCCATAATGCAAGTTAGAAACTCTGGTCATGAAAACTTCCGTATGTATCAAACTCAAACTGTTATAGCGAAAATCTAAACGCAGTCGCTGCAACTCGGTGCCCTACAAGATGAATTATAGTATTTCAAATTAAACTTATACAGGAAAATACATACATATACTGTACGATTTAGATTGCAAAGATCAAAAAATACCACAGAGCTTGAAGCCCTTTGATTATATCAGGAAAGCGATAAATTTATTTCATTCGATGTATAGATGTACTAATTCTTGCTCTGAAAAGTAAAATTATATTAAATTTTGATACTTTCATAGCGAAATTATCAAAACATATTTTCTAAGTAGCCAAACTAAATTTCAAATGCGAATTAAAAGAATATATTATAAATTAATGGAAATTTAGGCAGACATACACTCCTTCGTAAGTTCATAGAAAACTGCGAACGATTGATCAATTGCAACAAAAGTCGAGGCATTTAACAGCTTTGTGTTACATTGCGATATAATACTCCGGCGCGACAGATGTACTCTGAGAAGCTGTGAACTTTTAGAAGGTCTTCTCCAAATCCCTCCAGAGGCGTGCACCTCGCGGAGAAGGCACACGGCAGGTCAAGGTCAAGTCATCTCAAGTATCAGATGTGATTGGTTGACCTGTCGTGCCTAACTCTGGAGGGTTGGCGCTAACGAAGGCCGTTTTGTTATGTTGATGCTTGACAGTAATGTCGTCTCCTTTACCACCAACGAACGAGGAATGGGCTACAGGAAGATTCTGCTTGAAAAAAGACGTCCCCGTTGAGACTACCGTAGTGGATCGGCAAGGATGCTATAATTTCGGACTTATGGTTATTCCGGCGCCGAGAATAAATAAACTTAAACACACACACACACTTTAGAAGGTGAGTCGGAACAGAATGAATGCAATTTGACGAGTCGTTGAGAATAGTTGGTAAGTTGTCAGTTTCTCCAACTTTTATGTTTCTTTTATAATTGCAATAATTTTTGTCCATCTTTACTATTTTTTCTAATGGTTTGTTTTGTCTTATAATTTTAGAATTTAGAAAATGTGTACTGACTCTTTCAGATGAAGAGCTGATGGTACTCACTAGTGGTCACCACATTTATGGAGTCTGATTGACGGATAGTTGTTTCAAATAAATGTAGTCTTATTGACAGATAGCACCACGTAAATAGAATGAAATGGACACTAATTGACGGCATAACATTAATAGAGTCTGATTAACAGGTGACACCACATTTATAGAGTCTGAATGACAGATAGCACCACATTTATGTACTATGATTGAATGATAGCACCACGTTTATGGAGTATGATTGGAAGATAGCACCACATTTATGAAGTATGATTGGAAGATAGCACCACATTTATGAAGTATGATTGAATGATAGCACAACATTTATGGAGTATGATTGGAAGATAGCACGACATTTATGGAGAATGATTGGAAGATAGCACCACATTTATGGAGTATGATTGGAAGATAGCACCACATTTATGAAGAATGATTGGAAGATAGCACCACATTTATGAAGTATGACTGGAAGATAGCATCACGTTTATCGAGAAAAATTGACAGTTAGAACCACATTTATTGAGTCTGATTGATAAATGTGATTGTAGTAAGAACCACATTTATTGAGAATGATTGACATTTAGAACCACACATAATTATGGAGTCTGATTGACAGATAGCACCACATTTATGGAGAAATATTGACAAAGATTAATTAAAGTACATATTGCTATGAAACAATTAAATGGTAAAATAGACCTTTTTACAATACGATTCTTCCATAGCAACCAATGTTGCATTTCGCGCATGCGCATTCTGCGTAGGGCAAAAGCGCAATAAAATTGACAACAGTGTATGATTCTTTAAGGCTTTAATAGTCGTGATTCCATGTTATATCAACCAGAAAACAGTAATTTTGGGATGACTTAAAGCGGTAAGAACTTTAAACGTCAATTGATATTGGTAACAGATATATATAATAAGAAATATGCAGGACTAATAATCCAATGGTCAAAAGGCGCATACAAAAACGTCTGTTTAAGGTATCATTGACGACTTTTTCATCCGTTATTTAAAATTAAACAACAGGTTGTTAAAGATTAAATTTTTTACCCCTGTATTACATAATATTACACAATGTGTATTGTACACTTCCTTTGGATTGGCCAGGCGGTAAGTGTCAGACAGATTGACACGCGACCGTAGTTGTTTGTTTTCAGCTAGATATTGTATAAATATCATTCAACCGGAACGTTTTAGAACCATGACATAGTTAATCAAGTAGAATTATGAAAATCGTAATTTAAATACCGATCTCATCAATGTTTATTGATTTGTGAAGTGACTTAGTGTGACTTGCATTAAAAAGATATTAACATGTGTTACGAGGAACCGGATAAAATGAGTGTTATTTCACTTTCCTTAAAGATTTTGAAAAAAAAATGTATGTGATAAGTTAGCAGTGAACAGTGAGCTAAGCAAAAAGGCATTTCAATTTATATAGGGAAGTCAATGATCTGCTGTAATGCTCAGCTGTTTTGGGCATCTAGCGGGGCATTCCGAAATATAGTGTAAAAATGCTCTGCTGCAATACTCAGCTGTCTTGGCAATCTAGCAGAGCATTCCTAGCTATAGTGAAAAAATGCTCTGCTGGAACGCTCAGCTGGCTAGGCAATCTAGCAGTGCATTACTTAATATAGTGTTAACGTTGTAAAATGATTCCCATAGAATAATGACCCCTGGTCATTATTTTATATAAAATAGTGACCCCCTTCTATAAAATACTGACCTCTTTATATATAAAATAATGACCCCCTATTTCATCTATAAAATATTGACCTCCACCTAGCATACTTTTTAAAGTCAACTTCATATTTTAAGTGCGTATACTTGTTGTTGTTCTTGTTGTGCCTGTTTCTGCTTCTGGTATTGTTGCAGCTGCTGCCGCGACAACAGCTGACAAAACAAGGCTAAAATTAGGAGGGTCCGCTAAGAAAAAGCGATAATTTAAGGAATGTTATATATCATTAAAACTTGCGAACATGAAGTTTTAAGCAGATTTGATTCAGCATAGTTCTAGTCAGCTTATGGAGATAAATTACTTATCATTAGGTATGAAAAAAAAAAACAACAACCCCCCCCCCCCAAAAAAAAAACAAAAAAACATGAATCGTAGTTACAAACAAACAAATACGCACAATATTTGGTTTGAAGTGATCTATGATTTTACCTTCAAGTAAGCAAAAAACAAACATCTATGAAACTCTTAATACATGAATCAATAGTGTTAAAACGGAGGAAATGGATACATACTATTTAAAATGAATTGGAAATAAACCACGAAAATGAAATACTGTTCTTATAAGCTAAACGCTATTAACACTACGCTTATTCTGGTTAACATATATTCTTTTTTATTGTAAGAAAATACAGATCACGACTTTCGCATTTTGTTGGAACAGAGCACGGCTAGTTTTAAGGTAGACCATGGGTAATGGGAACCATAAGGAACTGTAAAATTGACAACATAGGACAGTTATATGTCTTCAAGGTCACCTGTATGCAAAATTAAATAAAATTTACCGTGTGGTTTATGAGTAATGGATGTATTTCTGAACTATGACTATGCCATTAGAAGGCCTTATTTTCAGAAATGAGGAAACTCTAAATATTCTGTAATATCATCATTATAAAAATGTTTTTCTATTGCCCATTTGTTAAGAAACAAATAAAAACATGCCGGTAAAAAATTACACAAGCAAAATGTTTGTTTCTAAACAAAATGTTCTTAATATGTATAAAAATGTTACCCTTCCCCACCCACTTTAAACACTAATTTTACTATTTCCCTATCTAAAATGCCTTATTCAAAATATTCCTAAAATTTACCATAAGGAGGGGCTGTTTTCAAAGTTTGCTTAATTTTTCTTTAAGGTATATTGGTTGATCATGCGAAATATAAAATACTTTTACCGTGTAGTTTTTATTTATTAAACTTTGAAAATATCTGGTATCATATATACATTTTGACATTATTTAGCAAATAAATACCTACAATAATTATATAATTTAAATCAAACCCTTTTTTTCTTCCATAAGGAATCAGAGAGACACATTAAAAATAATGTTAAAAAGAAAAAAAAGTTGCCCCTTCTGGGGTTCGAACCTACGCCCCTTAATTTGCGTCAACAATCATCTTCTTTTAAATTGCTGTGCAGATTTACCTCAAATTTGGTCTGTGGCATCCTTTTGACAGTCACACTTAAATTTTCCTCATGTCATTTCAATTGGCCCCTTTTAGTAAAATAGAAAAACCTGTGAACGTCTTTTTCGCCTATATAAAACGATGGATGATCACCAAACTTTGTCTGTAGCCTTCTTAGGTATAATTTTATCAAGCTTATATTAATTTGATTGGCCCATTTTAGAGGCCGCTAAATCTAAAAATAAACTTAAATCATCTCCTTGTACTGAACTAATCGATGGATGAGCACCAAACTATGTCTGTAGCATTGTTACTCAACTTTGCTCATATTTAATTGTTTGACCCCGTTTAGGGGTCGCTTAAGCTAGAAATAGAAAAACCTTTTAACCACATCTCCTACTGAACTAATTGATGGATGATCACCAAACTTCGTATGTAGCATTCTTAGGTAGTCTTTTATGAAGTTTGCTCATATGAATTTGATTGGCCCCGTTTAAGTTAAAGGTTAAATGCCCCAGGTCGTGGGATTTCTTTAAATTATTGTTTAAAGATATTATATGCTCAAATTTAATATTAGAAAATACTGACAATGCATAATTTCCAACACTGAAAAGCGTTTGTTTCTGGTTAGCGACTCAGGCCCATCACGGCCCTCTTGTTATGATTTCTGGGTCAAATTTGAATATGGGTCAGCTGGGGTCAAAAATTTAGTCACACTGCCCAAATATTGAAAAACCTTGTTAACACTCTAGTGGTCACATTTTTGCCTCAATTATCATCAGGCTTTGTTAGGATGTTGGTCTATGTAATTGCCTGGATGAGTTTAACCATTGGTCATTTTGGATGAAAATCCAGGTCACAGGAGCTAAAAATAGAAAAATCTTGTCAACACTTTAGTGGCTACTGTTTTGTTGATTTATAGGTCAAGTTTGAATATGGGTTACCTGTGGTCAAAAACTAGGTCACAATGCCCAAATATGGAAAAATCTTGTTTTCACTCTTATGGTCACATTTTTTACTCAATTGTCATAAAACTTGGTCAGGATGCTTGTCTAGTTAATTACTAGAATGAGGTCAAACATGGACCATCTTGGATGAAAACTAAGTCAGAGGAGCTAAAAATAGAATTATTGTGTTAACACTTTTGACTACTGTTTTAATCCAAATATTCTGGAAATTGATCTGAAAGTTTGTTTTGATGATTTCTAGATCAAGTCCGAATATGGGTTTCCTGGGGTCAAAAACTAGGTCACACTGCCCAAATATGGAAAAATCTTGTTACCACTAGTGGAAACATTTTGGACTCAATGATCAACAAACTTTGCCAGGATGTTTGTCAAGAAAATGTCTTTGATGAGTTCAAACATGGGTCATCTGTGATGAAAAACTAGCTCACAGGAGAAAAAAATACAAAAATCTTGTTAAATCTCTAAAAGCTACTGTTGTTATCCAAATATCCTTAAAATTGGTCTGAAAGATTGTTTTGATGATCTTTCGATCAAATTGAAATATGTGTCATCTGGGATCAAAAAACTAGGTCACACTGCCTAAATATGGAAAAACTTTATTTACACTCTAGTGGTCATATTTTTGACTCAATTGCCATCAAACATTGTCAAAATGCTTGTCTAGTCAATTGCCCGGATGATTTTGATTGGTCAGGGATTGGTGAGCGATCATAAGCCATATTGGCCCTCTTGTTTATCAACATTCTCAAATGAAAAACAGTGTTTGGGGACTGAATAGGGCATTTTTTCACTGTTTGAGGCCTCAAAAGGAGGGGGTGAAAAGCCGTCAAAACACTTCTATATCAGGTAAAGAGTTAATTTAACTACATTCATTTTTCTCTTATAAAAAATAACAGATAAATCCTCCAATTAAAAAAAGACAATTGAGAAAAGAAAAAAAATCATGTTATTTAATAAAACATGCTTTTGTATAATTTTTTTGAAGAAATTCAGAATAAAATCATATTTCTTGAATGACTTCAATTGTATTTTAATTCCTAAATCAGTTTTCAGTTTTGATATTTGGATTGATTTTCAAAATTTCAGAAAGAAGTCTGGGTGAAACGTGTTATGAGGTATCTCAATGTTTAGCAACACAAAATGTTCAGTGCACAGGGACTGGTACAAAAACTTGTAACTGCCAGAGTGGTTATTACACAATTACTGATAGCAACCGTTGTCTAAGTATGTATACTTTAGTTTTTTTGATCATTTTGTTTCATTTTACACCTAATTAACTAAGCGTCACATACTTGATATCATTATTTAGGTTTTATCACAGTTTTGCACTTAAGGTAGACCATGGGTAATGGGGACCATAAGGAACTGTATAATTGACAACATAGGACAGTTTTATTATCTTCATTGTCACCTGTATACAAAATTTAAATAAATTTACCGTTTGGTTTATGAGTTATGGATATTTTTCTGAACTAAGACCTTGCCATTAGAAGGGCTTATTTTCAGGAATGAGGAAACTCTAAATATTCTGTAATATCACCATTATAAAAAATGTTTTTCTATTGCCCATTGTTAAAAAACAAATAATAACATGCAGGTAACAAAATACACAAGCAAAATGTTTGTTTCTAAACAAAATGTTCTTAATATGTATAAAAATGTAACCCTTCCCCACTCACTTTAAACACTAATTTTACCATTTCCCTATCTAAAATGCCTTATTCAAAATATTCCTAAAATTTACCATAATGAGGGGCTGTTTTCAAAGTTTGGCTTAATTTTCTTTAAGGTATATTGGTTGATCATGCGAAATATAAAATACTTTTACCGTGTAGTTTTTATTTTATTAAACTTTGAAAATATCTGGTATCATATATACATTTTGACATTATTTAGCAAATAAATACCTACAATAATTATATAATTTAAATCAGACCCTTTTTTCTTCCATAAGGAATCAGAGAGACACATAAATAATGTTAAAAAGAAAAAAAAAGAAAAAAAAAGTTGCCTCTTCTGGGGTTTGAACCAACGCCCCTCAATTTCAATGTACTTTGCAACCGATTTTAACCTATTTGACTACTCTTCAAAGTGAAGGTAATGCATTACCCATGGTCTACCTTAAGACTTAAACCAGTTTCTATACGAAACACACCTCAGTTTTTTGGTTGAATTATTTTTGCTGAGTTATTGCCCTTGAAGAAAGAAATTGTTTTTTATCTCACCAGAACCGAAGGTTGAAGGTGAGCTGTTAGAATCAAAGGGGGATGGTCAGTCGTCCATCGTCATGCGTCAACAATCATCTTCTTTTAAACTGCTGTGCAGATCTACCTCAAATTTGGTCTGTGGCATCCTTTTGACAGTCACACTTAAATTTCTTCATGTCGTTTCAATTGGCCCCTTTTAGTAAAATAGAAAAACCTGTGAACGTCTTTTTCTCCTATATAAAATGATGGATGATCACCAAACTTTGTCTGTAGCCGTAATAGGTAGTATTTTATCAATTTGCTTATATTAATTTGATTGGCCCCTTTTAGGGGCCGCTAAATCTAAAAATAAACTTAAATTATCTCCTTGTACTGAACTAATCGATGGATGATCACTAAACTTTGTTTGTGGCATTGTGAGATAGTCTTTTCTCAAGTTTGCTCATATTTAATTGTTTGACCCCGTTTAGGAGTCGCTTAAACTAAATATAGAAAAACCTTTTAACCACATCTACTACTGAACTAATCGATGGATGATCACCAAACTTCGTATGTAGCATTCTTAGGTAGTCTCTTATCAAGTCTGCTCATATGCATTTTATTGGCCCCCGTTTAAGCTAAAGCTTAAATGCCCCCAGTAGTGGCATTTCTTCAAATTATTGTTTAAAGATATTCTATGCTCAAATTTAATATTAGAAAATATTGACAATGCATAATTTCCAACACTGAAAAACAGTTGTTACTGGTGAGAGACTCATGGCCATCACGGCCCTCTTGTTATGATTTCTAGGTCAAATTTGAATATGGGTCAGATGGGGTCAAAATTAGGTCACATTGCCCAAATATAGAAAAACCTTGTTAACACTCTAGTGGTCATATTTTTGCCTCAATCTTCATCAAACTTTGACAGGATGTTTGTCTAACGTAATTGCCTGGAAGAGTTTGACCATTTGTCATTGTGTGGCTAAAAATAGTCACAGGAGCTAAAAATAGAAAAATCTTGTCAACACTTTAGTGGCTACTGTTTTGTTGATTTATAGGTCAAGTTTGAATATGGGTTACCTGTGGTCAAAAACTAGGTTACAATGCCCAAATATGGAAAAACATTGTTTACACTCTGGTGGTCACATTTTGGACTCAATTGTCATAAAACTTGGGGTCAAAAACTAGGTCACATTGCCCAAATATGGAAAAACCTTGGTCACTCTCTGGTGGTTACATTTTTGACTCAATTGTCATAAAACTTGGTCAGGATGCTTGTCTAGTTAATTGCTAGAATGAGATCATACTTGGACCATCTTGGATGAAAACTAGGTCACAGGAATTAAAAGTAGTGTTATCGTGTTAACACTTGTGACTACTGTTTTGATCCATATATTCTGGAAATTGATCTGAAAATTTGTTTTGATGATTTCTAGATCAAGTCTGAATATGGGTTACCTGGTGTCAAAACTTAGGTCACACTGCCCAAATATTGAAAAATCTTGTTGACACTAGTGGTAACATTTTGGACTCTCTAGTGGCTACTGTTGTTATCCAAATATCCTGGAAATTGGTCTGAAAGTTTGCTTTGATGATCTCTAGATCAAGTTGAAATATGTGTCACCTTGGATTAAAAACTAGGTCACACTGCCCAAATATGGAAAAACTTTGTTTACACTCTAGTGGTCATATTTTTGACTCAATTGTCATCAAACTTTGTCAAAATGCTTGTCTAGTCAATTGCCCGGATGATTTTGATTGGTCAGGGATTGGTGAACGATCAATGGCCATATTGGCGTCTTGTTTATCAACTTTCTCAAATGAAAAATAGTGTTTGAAGACTAAATAGGTCATTTTTTCACTGTTTGAGGCCTCAAAAGGAGGGTGGGGGTGAAAAGCCGTCAAAACACGTCTATATCAGGTAAAGAGTTAATTTAACTACATTCAATTATCTTTATTTTGTAAAAACATTATGTTAAAATTTAGATAAGTAATACTTCTCTTTCTCCGTTCTCATTTGTTACAATATAAATACATGTTGTATTGAATTCAGAACTTGAAATGAACAATATGATCTCCTTTTTGTTTATTAAGCTAGTCATAATTGTATTTTTATATTGTGATATTAGTGATTTTTGACTGTTATTTTTCTGTTTGTTTGTTGTTATAACCAGTTGCATATTATATGCCTTGGTTTAATAAAAACTGAAACTGAAACTGAAACTGAATTTTCTCTTTTCAAAAATAACAGATAAATCCTCCAATTAAAAAAAGACAATTGAGAAAAGAAAAAAATCATGTTATTTAATAAAACATGCTTTTGTATAATTTTTTGAAGAAATTCAGAATAAAATCATATTTCTTGAATGACTTCAGTTGTATTTTATTTCCTAAATCAGCTTTCAGTTTTGATATTTGGATTTTTTTTCAAAATTTCAGAAAGAAGTCTGGGTGAAACGTGTAATGAGGTGTCTCAATGTTCAGCTACACAAAATGTTCAGTGCACAGGGACTGGTACAAAAACTTGTAACTGCCAGAGTGGTTATTACACAATTACTGATATCAACCGTTGTCTAAGTATGTATACTTTAGTTTTTTGATCATTTTGTTTCATTTTACACGTAAATAACTTAGTGTTACATACCTTATATCATTTTTTAGGTTTTGTCACAGTTTTGCCACAATTTTGCATTTTAGACTTAAATCAGTTTCTATATGAAACACACCCCAGTTTTTTGCTTGAATTATTTTAGCTGAGTTATTTACCTCCAATTCGGTCTCTGGCATCCTTTTGACAGTCACACTTAAATTTCCTCATGTCATTTCAATTGGCCCCTTTTAGTAAAATAGAAAAACCTGTGAACGTCTTTTTCTCCTATATAAAATGATGGATGATCACCAAACTTTGTCTGTAGCCTTCTAAGGTAGTCTTTTATCAAATTTGCTTATATTAATTTAATTGGCCCTTTTTAGGGGCCGCTAAATCTAAAAATAAACTTAAATCATCTCCTTGTACTGAACTAATCGATGGATGAGCACCAAACTTTTTCTGTAGCATTGTTTGATAGTCTTTTCTCAAGTTTGCTCATATTTAATTGTTTGACCCCGTTTAGGGGTCGCTTAAGCTAAAATTAGAAATACCTTTTAACCACATCTCCTTCTGAACTAATTGATGGATGATCACCAAATTTCGTATGTAGCATTCTTAGGTAGTCTCTTATCAAGTTTGCTCATATGAATTTGATTGGCCCCGTTTAAGCTAAAGCTTAAATGCCCCCAGTGGTGGCATTTTTTCAAATTATTGTTTAAAGATATTCTATGCTCAAATTTAATATTAGAAAATATTGACAATGGATAATTTCCAACACTGAAAAGCAGTTGTTTCTGGTGAGCGACTCAGGGCCATCACGGCCCTCTTGTTATGATTTCTGGGTCAAATTTGAATATGGGTCAGCTGGGGTCAAAAATTACGTCACACTGCCCAAATATGGAAAAACCTTGTTAACACTCTAGTGGTCACATTTTTGCCTCAATCTTCATCAAACTTTGTCAGGATGTTTGTCTAACGTAATTGCCTGGAAGAGTTTGACCATTTGTCATTGTGTGGCTAAAAATAGTCACAGGAGCTAAAAATAGAAAAATCTTCTCAACACTTTAGTGGCTACTGTTTTGTTGATTTAAAGGTCAAGTTTGAATATGGGTTACCTGTGGTCAAAAACTAGGTCACAATGCCCAAATATGGAAAAACATTGTTTACACTCTGGTGGTCACATTTTGGACTCAATTGTCATAAAACTTGGGGTCAAAAACTAGGTCACATTGCCCAAATATGGGAAAACCTTGGTCACTCTCTGGTGGTTACATTTTTGACTCAATTGTCATAAAACTTGGTCAGGATGCTTGTCTAGTTAATTGCTGGAATGAGATCATACTTGGACCATCTTGGATGAAAACTAGGTCACAGGAATTAAAAGTAGTGTTATCGTGTTAACACTTGTGACTACTGTTTTGATCCATATATTCTGGAAATTGATCTGAAAATTTGTTTTGATGATTTCTAGATCAAGTCTGAATATGGGTTACCTGGTGTCAAAACCTAGGTCACACTGCCCAAATATGGAAAAATCTTGTTGACACTAGTGGTAACATTTTGGACTCAATCATCAGCAAACTTTGCCAGGATGTTTGTCAAGAAAATTTCTTTGATGAGTTCAAACATGTTTTATCTCTGATAAAAAACTAGGTCACAGGAGACAAAAATACAAAAAAGTTGTTCACTCTCTAGTGGCTACTCTTGTTATCCAAATATCCCGGAAATTGGTCTGAAAGTTTGCTTTGATGATCTCTAGATAAAGTTGAAATATGTGTCACCTTGGATTAAAAACTAGGTCACACTGCCCAAATATGGAAAAACTTCGTTTACACTCTAGTGGTCATATTTTTGACTCAATTGTCATCAAACTTTGTCAAAATGCTTGTCTAGTCAATTGCCCGGATGATTTTGATTGGTCAGGGATTAGTGAACGATCAATGGCCATATTGGCGTCTTGTTTATCAACTTTCTCAAATGAAAAATAGTGTTTGAAGACTAAATAGGTCATTTTTTCACTGTTTGAGGCCTCAAAAGGAGGGTGGGGGTGAAAAGCCGTCAAAACACGTCTATATCAGGTAAAGAGTTAATTTAACTACATTCAATTATCTTTATTTTGTAAAAACATTATGTTAAAATTTAGATAAGTAATACTTCTCTTTCTCCGTTCTCATTTGTTACAATATAAAATACATGTTGTATTGAATTCAGAACTTGAAATGAACAATATGATCTCCTTTTTGTTTATTAAGCTAGTCATAATTGTATTTTTATATTGTGATATTAGTGATTTTTGACTGTTATTTTTCTGTTTGTTTGTTGTTATAACCAGTTGCATATTATATGCCTTGGTTTAATAAAAACTGAAACTGAAACTGAAACTGAATTTTCTCTTTTCAAAAATAACAGATAAATCCTCCAATTAAAAAAAAGACAATTGAGAAAAGAAAAAAATCATGTTATTTAATAAAACATGCTTTTGTATAATTTTTTGAAGAAATTCAGAATAAAATCATATTTCTTGAATGACTTCAGTTGTATTTTATTTCCTAAATCAGCTTTCAGTTTTGATATTTGGATTTTTTTTCAAAATTTCAGAAAGAAGTCTGGGTGAAACGTGTGATGAGGTATCTCAATGTTCAGCAACACAAAATGTTCAGTGCACAGGGACTGGTACAAAAACTTGTAACTGCCAGAGTGGTTATTACACAATTACTGATATCAACCGTTGTCAAAGTATGTATACTTTAGTTTTTTGATCATTTTGTTTCATTTTACACGTATATAACTTAGTGTTACATACCTAATATCATTATTTAGGTTTTATCACAGTTTTGCCACAATTTTGCATTTTAGACTTAAATCAGTTTCTATATGAAACACACCCCAGTTTTTTGCTTGAATTATTTGTAGCTGAGTTATTTACCTCAAATTCGGTCTGTGGCATCCTTTTGACAGTCACACTTAAATTTCCTCATGTCATTTCAATTGGCCTCTTTTAGTAAAATAGAAAAACCTGTGAACGTCTTTTTCTCCTATATAAAATGATGGATGATCACCAAACTTTGTCTGTAGCCTTCTTAGGTAGTCTTTTGTCAAATTTGCTTATATTAATTTAATTGGCCCCCTTTAGGAGCCGCTAAATCTAAAAATAAACTTAAATCATCTCCTTGTACTAAACTAATCGATGGATGAGCACCAAACTTTGTCTGTAGCATTGTTTGATAGTCTTTTCTCAAGTTTGCTCATATTTAATTGTTTGACCCCGTTTAGGGGTCGCTTAAGCTAAAATTAGAAATACCTTTTAACCACATCTCCTTCTGAACTAATTGATGGATGATCACCAAATTTCGTATGTAGCATTCTTAGGTAGTCTCTTATCAAGTTTGCTCATATGAATTTGATTGGCCCCGTTTAAGCTAAAGCTTAAATGCCCCCAGTGGTGGCATTTCTTCAAATTATTGTTTAAAGATATACTATGCTCAAATTTAATATTAGACAATATTGACAATGGATATTTTCTAACACTGAAAAGCAGTTGTTTCTGGTGAGCGACTCAGGGCCATCACGGCCCTCTTGTTATGATTTCTAGGTCAAATTTGAATATGGGTCAGCTGGGGTCAAAAATTACGTCACACTGCCCAAATAAGGAAAAACCTTGTTAACACTCTAGTGGTCACACTTTTGCCTCAATCATCATAAAGCTTTGTCAGGATGTTGGTCTATGTAATTGCCTGAATGAGTTTGACCATTGGTCATTTTGGATGAAAATCCAGGTCACAGGAGCTAAAAATAGAAAAATCTTGTCAACACTTTAGTGGCTACTGTTTTGTTGATTTATAGGTCAAGTTTGAATATGGGTTACATGTGGTTAAAAACTAGGTCACAATGCCCAAATATGGAAAAATTTTGTTTACACTCTAGTGGTCACATTTTTTACTCAATTGTCAGGATGCTTGTCTAGTTAATTGCTAAAATGAGATCAAACATGATCCATCTTGGATGAATTAAAACAAGGTCACAGGAGAAAAAAATACAAAAATCTTGTTAACTCTCTAGTGGCTACTGTTGTTATCCAAATATCCTGGAAATTGGTCTGAAAGATTGTTTTGATGATCTTTAGATCAAGTTGAAATATGTGTCACCTGGGATGAAAAACTATCTCACACTGCCCAAATATGGAAAAACTTTGTGTACACTCTAGTGGTCATATTTTTCACTCAATTGTCATCAAACTTTGTCAAAATGCTTGTCTAGTCAATTGCCCGGATGATTTTGATTGGTCAGGGATTGGTGAGCGATCAAGGGCCATATTGGCCCTCTTGTTTAACAACATTCTCAAATGAAAAACAGTGTTTGGGGACTGAATAGGGCATTTTTTCACTGTTTGAGGCCTCAAAAGGAGGGGGTGAAAAGTCGTCAAAACACGTCTATATCAGGTAAAGAGTTAATTTAACTACATTCAATTTTTTCTTTTCAAAAATAACAGATAAATCCTCCAATTAAAAAAAGACAATTGAGAAAAGAAAAAAATCATGTTATTTAATAATATATGCTTTTGTATATTTTTTTTGAAGAAATTCAGAATAAAATCATATTTCTTGAATGACTTCAGTTGTATTTTATTTCCTAAATCAGTTTTCAGTTTTAATATTTGGATTGTTTTTCAAAATTTCAGAAAGAAGTCTGGGTGAAACGTGTGATGAGGTATCTCAATGTTCAGCAACACAAAATGTTCAGTGTACAGGGACTGGTACAAAGACTTGTAACTGCCAGAGTGGTTATTACACAATTACTGATAGCAACCATTGCCTAAGTATGTATACTTTAGTTTTTTGATCATTTTGTTTCATTTTACACCTTATTAACTAAGCGACACATAAAAATTGACAACATGTTATATGTCTTCAAGGTCACCTGTATGCAAAATTTAAATAAAATTTACCGTGTGGTTTATGAGTTATGGATATATTTCTGAACTATGACTTTGCCATTAGAAGGATTACTTTCAGAAATGAGGAAACTCTAAATATTCTGTAATATCATCATTATAAAAAACGTTTTTCTATTGCCCATTGTTAAGAAACAAATAATAACATGCAGGTAACAAATTACACAAGCAAAATGTTTGTTTCTAAACAAAATGTTCTCAATATATATAAAAATGTTACCCTCCCCCACCCACTTTAAACACTAATTTTACCATTTCCCTATCTTAAATACCTTATTCAAAATATTCCTAAAATTTACCATAATGAGGTAAATTTGAAGTTTGGCTTAATTTACTTTAAGGTATATTGGTTGATCATGCGAAATATAAACTACTTTTACCGTGTAGTTTTTATTTTATTAAACTTTGAAAATATCTGGTATCATATTTGCAATAAATTTTGACATTATTTAGCAAATAAATACCTACAATAATTATATAATTTAAATCAAACCTTTTTTTTCTTCCATAAGGAATCAGAGAGACACATAAATAATGTTAAAAAGAAAAAAAAAAAGAAAAAAACCACGCCCCTCAATTTCAACGTACTTTGCAACCGATTTTAACCTATTTGACTACTCTTCAAAGTGAAGGTAATGCATTACCCATGGTCTACCTTAATCTAAGTTTCAATTTGCCAAAACAAAATTATAATAAAAAAGAATACAAATATATATATATAAATACCACATTAACCCAAAATAGTTATTTTGTGGCGTTTTAATGTCAATTTAAATAAACAATTGGTTTTACAGCATAACGTTACAATAATTATGTTGATCATTATAAAATCATTTTACTTTTTCTTCCAGTTTTACCGGAGCCAATTTATTACGAAGATTCTTGGGAAAATGATGAAAAGCAGGATGGAAGTTCAGGTAAACATTAGAAAACATTAGAAAAGGTACCACAAAAAAAGGTTTCATATAGGAAAACACCCCGCATCTGGAAATTTTCTTTCTATATACATGTATATATCTATTGCCTAATTGTATTAATTCAAGTACTATTATATACAAAATGTCAACCCTATTTTACTTATCAAACATAGTACTGACTTGTAATTACTGTAAATAGTACTGCTAATATACTTATATGTCATTACAATTGTAGTATATACCAATTTGGTATTAAAGGGGCACGTCCCCAGATAAGAATAAAATATCAGACTAATCACGTAATTTTTACGCTTGACAATATTTTAAACTCATTTGTAGCATTCGTATAAATTTTCGTAAAAATTACAGAAATCTTTGAGACGTGCTGCTTTAAATCAAATTACATTATAACGAAGAAAAAATGCACAATAATCTATAATAAGATATAGACCAGTATGCCTGTATGATTTTGTCGTAATTAGCAACTTCATTTTCATAAAATATTTGATACTTTACCATGACCTACGCACTAGACATTCAGTTCAACTTCATATTCATGTATAATTATATACATAATGTAGAAAAGAACACTGATATAAAGGACTGCCAGTTTATCTTATAGAGTTGATACGTGCACATTATCCTACGAGAGTTGACTCGTGCTGATTGTCTTATAGAGTTGACTCGTTCAGATAATGTAATTATAGAGTTGTCACGTTTAGATTCTCTTATAGAGTAGACTCGTGCAGATTCTCTTACAAAGTTGACTCGTGCAGATAATGTTATAGAGTTGACTCGTGCAGATTCTCTTATACAGTTGACTCGTGCAATTTTGTTACAGAGTTGACTCGTGCAGATTTTCTTATAGAGTTGACTCGTGCAAATTACGTTATAGAGTTGACTCGTAGAGATTCCCTTATGGAGTAGACTCATTCAGATTTTGTTATAGAGTTGCTTTGTGCAGATGATCTTGTAGGGATTTGTCGTGTAGACTATGTCATAAGATTCTCTTTGCTGTTTAGTAGTGCAGATTTTATGGAGTAGACTCGTGGCAATTATCTGAAAGGGTTTGCACGTGCTGATTGTTTCATTAAGTTTAGTAGTGCAGATTATTTTATAGAGTAGACTCGTGCCAATTATCTTAACCCTTTCGCTGCCAGAGGGTTATTGTTTTAATGTTCACCTATTTGCCAGAGGATTTTCTAAGAAATTACTATATTATTAATTAATATAATTATTATTATTTGTTATTAGTATTATAATAATTATATATGTTTCCAAATCTGTTAGTATAATAATAATTATTGTCGATGGTATAATTTTCTTTATATTTATTATTATTTTCATTATTATTTTTTTTAAATTATTATTATTACTATTATTATTATAGAAACGGCTAAAGCCGTCCATATGGCAAATACGCCGAAAATAAAAGGGACGGCTTAAGCCGTCCCTATGGCAGTGAAAGGGTTAAAGGGTTTGCACATGCATATTATATGATTATGCTGCAAAAGAGCAAGGTCATTGAAACATTTCGAGTTTATATGATCGACATTTCTTTTTAATCTATATCTTATCTTTATTTTTTAAACCATGTTCTGCATTGGTTACTACTTAATCAGAAATTAATTTGCATGAAAGACAACTATATGCCTTCAGTTTATGATTGGTTTAAATAACAATGTGCGTAACGGAAATCGTAAGTTTTCACTTTGTAGATATACCTTTATTTACCTTACATAGTTCTTAATTTCTTTATTTTAGACTACCTTGTTTAACCAATTTTTTTCCCAAAAATTTTGGCAACCTTTTATTTTTTTTAAATTTTAAATTTTTGGGGAATTTTAAGGGGGGTTTTGATTTTTTATTTTTTTTTTCTTTTTTTTAAAAAACCCAACCCTTTTTTTTTTTTTCGGGAAATTTTTGAGGGGAATTTTTAAATTTAATTTTTTGAGCCTTTTATTTTAAATTTTTAAAACCGGGGGACCCGGGTTTTCAATTTTTTTTTTTTGGGGTTTTTTTTTGTTCCAAATTTTTCATTAAAACAATATTTTAACCCCCTTTTTTTATTTTTTTTGGGTTTTTAAATTTAGTTTTCGGGGGGATTATTTTTTTTATTGGGGCTTTAAAATTTATTTTTTTTTTTTGTTTTTTCATTTTAATTTATTTTTTATTTTTTTTAAAAAGTTTTTTTTCAAAAAGGGGAAAAAATCGTTTTTTATGAATAAAACTTTTTCGTTTTTTGGTTAGGGGAAAACTTGTTTTTTTGGGAATAAAACAAAGGGGGTTCAAATTTTGGGAAAACTTTTTTTTTTTTAAAATATTTTTAAAATTTAACCATTTTTGGCCCCTTTTATACATTTTTTTTACTGTTTTTTAAAGAAACCCCTTTTTCTTAAATTTTTAACCCCAATTTTCAAAATAATTTTTTAATATTTTTAACCCAAAATTAGGTGGTTTTTTTTTAAAATTTTTTTTCCTTTCAAGTTTTTTTTTTCTCCAATTTAATTTTTTATTTGGGTTTTAATAAAAATTGAACCAAATTTTTTACGGACCTTTTTTTAAAGGGTTTATTTGGTAGGGAAATTTTTTTTGAAAAGGGGGGGCAAAAGAAATTTTTTGTTTTTGGGAAAAGGGAAATATTTGAACCTTTTTTTTTTTAGGGGGTTTTTTTTTTTTGTGTTGGGGCCTGTTTTTTTGGCAAAAAAATTTTTTCCCCAAAAACGGAATTAATCTGAAAAGGAAATTTTTTTTTTTTTATGTTTTTTTCTAAAGGGGTTTTTGCTTTTTAAAATTTTTTTGGGTTTGGTTTTCAGGTTCATTTTTCCCCCCTTGTGGGGGGCATTTTTAGAATCGAAAACTTTGGGGGGACGGGAACGTTTTCAGGGAAATCTGGTTTGGGGGGGCAAAAAAAAAGGGGGGGGGGGGGGGGGGGGGCCAGAGCTATTTTTGCGAAAGTGATTTAAACGTTAATGTTTTTCCGCCTCTTTTTGAACTAGCTGCACTAACGTTGGGGCCATCTTGGGTCTTAAAATTTTTTGAAACTTGAAAACTCTTCCACATTCTTGTTCATGTTTTTCTTTTATTTTGGGGGACACAGACAACTGTCAGTGTACTGGAAGAGCCCGTTACAGAAATGAAACGCAAATAGAAAGTTTCCAATTTCAGAATAGATGTGGAAGAAGTTCGAATGACCGACCAACTATTCTTCCGGAATACATTATAACGGACGTACCTGAAGATGTCCCAGTCGGGCACCATAGTAGCCAACCTCTCAATGACTGACCCGGATGATGGAAAAATTCGGAGATTTTAACAGATTAATTTAGAAAAGTCACACAGGGTAAATTTATTTAATTTTTTAAAGCAAAAAAAGAATTGTTTCCTAAATTTACTGAAATATTGTTTAAATAAATTATATAAATGTAAACTTAATATGAATTTTTCAATTAATACTTTCACCTTTGCGCACATTTGATAGATATTCTATACGCGAAACCTCTTTATTACCTAAATTTACTAAATACTGTTTTATATAAATTAAAAAAAATAAGTGTCAGCTTTTTGGTTACGTTATATTTGCCAAAACCTGTAAAATATTTGCTTTCCTGTTTTAGAAAGCCTTACATTTTTACGCTAGACCAAATCAATTGGCTTATTTACTCTTAATTAATCAGGAGTTTAAACAGGTAATCGGATTTTCTTATGTATATGACCAGTACCTTCCCATTGTATCATAGTTTGGAGACCTTTTTGTTGAAAATGTGTCAGGGTTAAATCGTATACATATACATGCACAGTGCGTTAACTGGAGTGCGGGTATTAGTTACCCGCACTACAGAGCATGCCCATTGATTGGCTCATTTTTGCTGGGGTTTACATATTGTGACGGCAGAGAAAGGGAAAGCGACAGAAATGTCATATTCAGATGTTCGTTCATTGGTTCATTTTTGCCGGGGTTTCATATTGTGACAACAGGGAACGTGGTTTTATGTTCGACTATGATACAAAAGAGAAAGAACACCAAAACACTCTGCAATCTGATTAATACTCGGGGCTACGCCCCCTCGTACAAATCAGATAGCCTCGTGTTTCGGTGCTCTTTCTATTACTTAATGTCTACTAGCTGTTGGTACTTTAAGAAAGAAAAATATGTTACAACAAGTTAATGAAGGGGTGCCAAATAAGGTAACCCGTTTTTATGTCAGTAGGAAGCAATTTGCTAGAGGAAACACTCTATCTATATAAGAACATTAATGGAATCATATTAACTTAACATAACGTTTATATTCCCACAGACTATTTTCAAACTTAATTATTTTGATAAATTTTAATTCAAATATAAATTAAAAACCGAGGTTACACGAAATGATCCTAAGGTTACCCGAGATATACGTTTATTGTCTTAGTTTACAAAGCCGAATATAAAAGCACTATATTTGTGCTTTTCGAGTTGGAAATATTTTACTGTGAGCTTATTTACTAAAGGTATCACTTTAATGACGCAAAATGATTTGGTAAGCAAAAGATCCCAAGCAAATTGCTGCTGATTGACTTAAAAAAAGAATATTTACGCCATTGCCGCCATTAGTTATAGACTACACGTAAGGCACCGAACACAATGATGTAGGTCCTACCCCTTGTTATAGATATATCGAGTTTCGTACACATCAGCTAAGCATTTAATTAATGTTGTTCATTAAGTCCAAATTTGAGCCAACATTACAGTAAAGCTCGAAAGTCACTTTATAGTTAAATATGAGCTAAAATTTATTCAATTTTTGAAGAAAAGCTGTGTTCAAAATAACTTAAAATACAATTTATTCAAGCAAAAAGCGGGTTTTCCCTAAAATTTCGTTTTTAAAAACCCCCTGCAGTGATGGGTATGTTTCTTTAAAAATTTATGACCCTAAAACCCCTTAGTGTGGGGGAAAAAAACTTTAATCAAAATGGTCCCCGGAACTGATTATTGGGGTTTTTGCTCCGATCCGTTGCAATTTTTAAAAAAAAACCACGCACCAGAAAAACCAAAAGCAAAATTTCCCCTTAAAAACCAACAAAAAACACTGGCCCTCTTGAATAAGTACGGTTTTAATTTTTATGTAATATGGTCATATTTTATAATTTCAATTATATTCTAGATATAGAGACTTTTAATGGAAATTGTTTGAAGTTTGGAAAAAATATCAAACGATAACTACCACATCAAGACAGCATCAGTGCTGGATGCGGATAAATTCTGGGACAGGTAAATCGTATCTATAAAGCTACTTTCTAGATCATTGTAGTTTAACCATTTTTGGATAAAAAAATACACATTTGAATGACTATTAGATTACTAATACGTTTCTTTGTCAATGAAATACCAGCATTAAATGCTATATTTTGAATGATATATTTGTGTTTTGTTAAGCACATACAGTTTTTAAAACAACATACATGTATGTGACATTTGAAACAATTGTTTATTAAAAAGAACATTCCAAAGTTCTAGAATGAAGGGATTCCGTAAGTAAATATCCTTCAAAAGAAATAGCGCGTGCACAAAATCATTGGTAGAATTGAAATAGCAGCATAATATTTTATTTAACAGTATTTTATTATCTTAACGTACAGTTAGATAACAGAGATAGCCTTTGTAACAACTCTTTCGAGAATTAAGATTATGGGAACAAACCTGTTTTTAAATTTATAATGTTATTACATAAGATATAGCTATATACCATTAAACTTAATCGCATTATCTTGCAAACAAATCAAGTAGAGAAAATAAGAATCCCTTAAGAACGTCCAAAACGGCAAAATGGAAAATGTTAAGACTCGGTTTGATTGAGTCTCTTCATGGACGGTATTTGCAAGGTACCATCCACTCCCATAGCACTGGCTAAGACAGAATTCTATACTCTACCTGAAATGGAAAATACTTCATTATTGTATTTATCTTATTAAATTATTTTTTGCTTAAATGTACTACGATGAATCATTTACAGTGTGGCTACTTACATTGACAATCCACGTGGACCTACTTTGCTTTTTGATGTTTTGGTGAGTTTTTTTTTCTTATTTTACGAATTTCAACGTGCATAATGCATTTTCTTTTATCGTGAATTAATAAATATACATTAAACATGACATAAAATTTGGTTTAATTAAGACATATATCGTATCTTTTAGTATCTACACATTTCTCATATTGTCTTATTTGCTTTGATACAGACGTTCATAGAACAAGTCTTGAACATCTTAATTCAAAATTTAAAAAAAGAGAACATGTCGGATTTGTTTCAAAATAGAAAAAAATGATTCCCTAAGAACGTCTCAAACGGCAAAACTGAAAACGTTTTAGATCCGGTTCGATTCAGTTTGTACATATACGGTACTTGAAAGTGAAAGCTACTGTCCAAGACCCCTAGCACCGGCTGCGGCTGACTTTGTTCCATGCTTTTTATTCTTATAAAGTATCGATGTAGATCATAACATCATATAACCAGAGTTTCTCTCGGGCATGGTCATCCTGATAGTTCTTTTTTCAATAAATATTTCTTTGTATTTCAAGGTAAGGGACGGCGGTGGTCTAAGTGCTCTTTCAAATATCAATGTCACAGTCACAGACATCGGTGATATCAAACCAGTTTTGCAAAAAATCCTATTTTTAGACAACCAACATATATGACAAGAAAGGGTGAAACGGTTTACTAGTTTAGACAATTTTTGCAGTGCACGAAACTACGTCAGTGCAGTATTTTACTTCCAAAAAGTAACATACGTTTTGAGTTCAGACAGCTGTAACTGTAAGTTAGACAAATTGTACAATCGTATTTTAATTTGTTGAACGACGTATGTATATCATCATATCTAAAATAATGCCCTTCCTGTCTAGGTTTAGTCACTCTCCGACAAGTTTTATGCCACCCAAATTGCATTAATATTCTTAGTAACATATTGCTGATTACAGATAATGTTTTTGAATAAAATGTATCTCACCGAGGCCAGTGTACGAATCAGAGGACGTTTTTCATACAAAAATTTCTGCAGTCTGGTTTGTATACAGGCAGACGCATGCATTCATTGACAGCATACAGTTACATTTATTTTGAATGGTCAGATTCCTCAATTTAAATTTGGAGACCGGCCAAAACTTCGACCACAATACTTTTGCATGAACAAGGTTGGTAAATAAACAACACCAGTTCACGATATTAAAATTTCTGCTTGGTCCATTTCTTTCTTAATTACCAAACGTTTAATCTTTCCATCATCTGTCATCAAAATGTTTTAAAGATTACAAAGGTGTTAACTGGCTGCTATTGCATTGTATAGTACATTATTTGAATGGACCTGGCCATGCATTTTCAATATTCGTGTACAATATTACAAGAATGACAATGTTTTTTCAGTATTTAACATCAGTAATAATGGATTGGTCCAGCTTACAAATAGAGTTCCAAACCACATCAAGACTTGTACTCTTTCCGTTCAAGCTTTAGACATAGTCTATCCAACATCAGTTACCACGTTTTCTTTATTTATTGAATGTAAGTATTTCAGTTAAGTTTTTTTTCAAGGCATTCATGAATATTACCGGATATTTTTGAAATTAGTTGGCAATTTTAATAATTTGAACTAATTTCTTTAGATCTCATTTAAACTGAATTAGTCCGAGCTGATTAAAATTGATAATTCATGGAACACGTGGGTTTCGTTTCTTTACATGAATATTATGTAATCAAGAAAACATATGTGATGTCAAGTAAAAATGTGAGAACAAAAGCGACGTTAACAAAACGCAGCTCCAACAGAACGCAGCCCCAACACAGGACCAACTTAGAGCCACCCAATAGGGCACCTAACCGACTAACAAGCAAATTCGTTGAATTTATATCCCCGCCGAGTACTGGTTATTATTAACACAACAACTAAAGACATAAGGCTTTATCTATATATTAATCATGGCATAAACTGTAATATTCTTTGAACTTGAAGCCTTGTACCTTCAAGCAAGAAGAATTTTTAAGTTTTCACTATATACATATAAGGAAAATCTATGACCCCCTGGAGTGGGGCCCATTTTGACCCCAGGACTAAAATTTGAACAATTTTGGTAGAGGACCTATAGGTTATATCATATACCAAATATCAAAGCTCTAGGCTTTGTACTTTCAGACAAGAATTTTTAATTTTGCATTTTTGAAACTCCTTTTCTGCCCCTGTGACCTGCTTATGCAACAGACCGGAACCATTTGATCAACTTGGACAGGGGATCACCCTAGGATTATTCCTGTAAAGTTTGGTTGATGTGTGTCAAATACTTTTTGAGTTACATGCGACACAAGTTGAAAATTGCAAAATTTTACTAAGTCAAGGGCAATAACTCTAAATATACTAAAAATATCCTGACGAAAATACCCAGGTGCACAACTACACATACTGATCAACATTCCTGTAAAGTTTCATAACTCTAGGTCAAATATTTTTTGAGTTACATGCGACACAAGTTGAAAATTACAAAATTTTACTAAGTCAAGGGCAATAACTCTAAAAATACTAAAAATATCCAGACGAAAATACCCAGGTGCACAACTACACATACTGATCAAGATTTCTGTAAAGTTTAATGACTCTAGGTCAAATATTTTTTGAGTTACATGCGACACAAGTTGAAAATTACAAAATTTTACTAAGTTAAGGGCAATAACTCTAAAAATACTAACAATATCCAGACGAAAATACCCAGGTGCACAATTTCACATGCTGATCAACATTCCCATAAAGTTTCGTTGAATTCTAGCCATTAGTTGCAGAGAACTACTCCGGAAACGAAATTCGGACGGACGGATGGACGGACGGACGGACAACGCCAAAACTATATCCCCCTCCCGATTCCATCGGCGGGGGAAAACAAGCTGGAGAATGTATCAAAAACGCTTAAAAACAACTTACAACAGGCTGTTGAAAACATATTATGAATGCAACAGAGATGTTTTTTATATAAAAATCTATCAGGATTTCTTACTGACATCTTTTTCTAACTCTCAAAACTACCAATTTCAGTTCGTAGATGTTTAAGCGATACTGATTACAGGCATATCCAATGGGATACAGGGATCCCAGGAGAGACATCTATGCATAATTGCCCGACTGGATATAGAGGTATATTTTGTTTAGCTTTTGAAGATAGATATTTCGTATTCAAAAATAAAATCAAAAATAAAGAAACTGTTTTATAATAGATTGTATGCATTATTTAAGATGAGATTACCTTAATATCCTTGCAATGAAAGATAAATTAACAAAATTAATCGATAAATTAACAAACTTAATCGTGAAAGAATTGAACATGGAAAGAAGAAAAGTGATCCGATATATGTCTTTATTATTTTTATTATTATGATTATTATTATGATTATTATTCAACACATAAATGTTTATAGTTAATCACTTTATAAACATTTTATCAAACAATATATTAGAATAACCATCCGAAATGTGCCGATTTACATGTAAGACCATTAATTTTGATTTATTTGCACGTTTTTATTTCATACACATTTTACGTTTCCTCCCTAAAGACATTATGGCTTCAGACCCAGCCCCATCCTTCCCTTTCCGCGTCATCTTTTTGTCCGAAATCTCAGAAACTGATCACATTTGACGGTAAAATGGGAATTTTAAATTCATGCTTTTGTTGCGTTTTACTTCTCCTTAAAATATGGCATAGCGAGGCCATGTGATTTTTTTCACATGGCGTCAAATATATTATACAACCACGCTATTAATATGTAACTTTAAAGTATCACCGCGTTTACAAAAAAATCAGTTAACTTAAGTCTTATTTTCACCATATACCATTATAACATACAATAAGACTTACTATAACCATACAATAGCAAAATATTCAATTTTCTTCAGGTAATGTAACAAGGTACTGTTCCAAAACTGGAATTTATCAGGACCCCGTTTACAACTGTACGAAAGCTTCAATTGAAAACATTTACAATAAGGTAATTCATGTAGATAATTATGATTTTGGTTGATCGTTCCATGGTAGAGCAAGATCTCAGATATCTTTTATGTATCATTTTAGTCACAATCGTGCATCTAAATAGAACCTTCCGCAATATAACTTGATAGCTTCTTACAAGAAAATATCCAAAGACTTTAAGTCATTTATCATAACAGCTTCATGATAATTTATATATTTTACGAACAACAAAAGACTTAAAATAAAAAAAAAGATTTCATATGTTATCATCACAGTTATCCAATAAAAAGCGATGTTATAAACGTATATTATAGACCTTTTTACGATACGATTTTTGTATAGTAACGCATGTTGCATTTCGCGCATGCGCAAAAACTCCAAATAGATGACTACAATTTATCATATTTAAAGGCTTTAATTATTAAATAGACGTGATTTCACCCAGAAAACAGTAATTTTGGGATGACTTAGAGCAGTAAGTACTTAATTAAATTTTAATTGGCATCTATAACAAAAAATACGAAACTATGAGGAATAATTCAATGAAAAAAGCGCATGTACAAGTCTTTATTTTTAAAGATATCATTAGACGACTTTTCCATCAGAAATTTAAATTGAAACAGAATGGTGTTAAAGATTAAATGAGCCGCGTAACGACAAAACCAACATAATGGGTTTGCGATCAGCATGGATCCAGACCAGCCTGCGCTTCCGAGCAGTCTGATCAAAATCCATGCTGTTCGCTATCAGTTTCTCTACTTGTTATAGGGTTTGTAAGCGAACAGCATGGATCCTGATCAGACTGTGCGGATGCGCAGGCTGGTATGGATCCATGCTAGTCGCAAACCCATTATGTTGGTTTTGTCGTGACACGGCTCAAATTTTGTTACCCCTGTATTACATAATATTGCACAATTTGTATTTTACACTTCTTTTGAATAAGTGGATTGGCAAGGCGGTAATTAAGTGCCAAACACACTGACACGTGACCGGTTGTTTATTTCCAGTTAGTTAACAATATCATTCGACCGGGGCGTTTTAGTACCATGACATAGTTAATCACGCAAAATTTTGAAAATCGTTATTTAAGTAACTTTAACATATAGCAATCTCATCAATGTTTAGTGACAAATAGTGTAACGTGCATTTACACTTGTTACGAGCAACCGGATGATGAAAAGTGTTATTTCACTACCCACTACACATCTTAATTTCTCAATATTGTGAAAAAAATGTAAATATATTTATGTGACTTAACAATGTTCTGTTTGGCATCAGTCGGATAAAGGATAAAATCAGGTAACTGAAAACTTAAAATGCATCATCACGTGTTCTGACATTTTTCAGGGGGATAATTAACCTCGATTTCATATATTATTAAAATTTCTTTAGTTTTTATTTGAACTATCTCAACATTAATTAAGTTGACCTCTTTATTTGCTAATAGATATATTCCCACATGTTTTTACAACAATGTCAATGTCAGGTCCGTTGTCGTAAGTGGAAATTCTTAAACAATCGTCGTTTCCAGGCCTTTTTATGGCAAACTTTACCACCAAACTATTTAGGCATCTTTTATGTTTTTGTTAAAAGCTATTTTAAATAATTTTCTACTTTTTACCTTAAACAAACTCGGAATTATCTATGAACTTCTATTATATTTCCATGTAGGGCAATGCTCTTCTCAATCTACGCAGATTGCGTATGTGCAAGAAAATACTACTTCCGATCGATTTTCATAGCAACGGTCCAATCCGTTGCTATGAAAAATCGATCGGAAGTAGTATTTTCTTGCGCATGCGCAATCTAGATAGGGCAAAAAGAACATCGCCCATACAAAACATAAAAGATGCCTTTAAAGCTTTGTGGCCAAGTTTTCAATAGAAAGGTATGGAATAGATGATTGTTTTTAGAATTCCCCCTTACGTTCACGGACATGATACTGAGATAATTGTTGTAAAAAATGTTGAAATATTTCTATCAGCAAATAAAGTCGTCAACATAATTGTCGATTTGACTGTGATGTCAAACAAAAACTTTTTAAGTCACATAAAAATGTTTAGATAATTTTTCAAAAATCTTGAGAAATTTAGATTGTTAGTGGGTAGTGAAAAAACACATATGTCATCATCCGGTTCCTCGTAACATATGTTAATGCACGTCACACTTTATCAACAAGCATTGATGAGATCGGTATATGTAAAAGATACTTAAATTACGATTTTCATAATTTTACGTGATTAACTATGTCATGTCTAAAACGCCCCGGTTGAATGATATTGTAAACCAGCCAGAAATAAACAACCGGTCACGTGTCAATCTGGCCAATCTACTTATTCAAAAGAAGTGTACAATACAAATTGTGCAATATTACGTAATGCAGGGATCATATAATTTTATCTTTATAATTTGCTGTTTCATTTTTTTAATTACTGATGGAAACATCGTTTAATGACACCTTAAACAGAATCATTGAATATTACCCTATATATGCTACAGATATCAATTGACTTTTCAGAACTGACTGCTTTAAGTCATCCCAAAATTACTGTTTTCTGTGTGGCATAACTTGAAATCACGTCTTCTAAAGCCTTTGACTATGATAAATTGTAGTCATCGGTATTGCGTTTTTTGCCATACGCAGAATGCGCATGCGTAAAATGCAACATCCGTTACTATGGAAAAAAACGTACTGTAAAAAGGTCTATAAATAAATAAATATATTCACATCAGTTTATGCCGAGAAGAATTCTGTGAAAATGAACTAAACAAGGTAAATTCCTCATTAAATTACACTAGACATGTAGTTCAGAATCAAGAATATCTATTAAGGATTTACAAAATTTGCTTTTTGTTTGCATTACAGTTAATTGAAGCCAAAAAGACTGGTCAGGTTAACATAGTTGATGTACTGGATGAGCTATCAAATGAGACATCAGACACGGACGAGAATAGTACACTTTTGATTGGAGATATAAACGTCGCTGTTAATACACTTGCACAAATAGTTGATGTGGTAACAGTCAACACAACAGACATTAAAAATGTTACAGATGTAAATAGATTTTATCATTCAAAGACATTATTTAAGACTCAAAATTCCATTACCATGGTAATTTCTGTCATATCATTCCGTGATTTTTTTTGAGCAGTGCAACTGCACCTAACATATCAGAGAATTATAACCGGATGCTTAAAGGCTGTACAAAGTTACTCCGTGCTACACTCAAGTGTTGTTATAATTTCAATACTGACCGCAAATCAATTTAATAGCTTTTTTGGTGAAGTTAGACCTACATAATTATGCCTCAATACAGTTAGTTTGATTCGTGTGCGGGCATCTCGATGCAGATACCGACCTTTTGCACATGAATTTTATCAAGTCTCAGATTGGATATCAATCCAAATGAGAGTCCGGGATTACAATCCGAAAGGAACAAGTAATCAAAATAAGAAGTCAAGGACCAATTGTTAACGGCATAAATATATACATGTATCATAATTCTCCCAGCTTAATTTAACATCTTCTAAACAAATGACTTTGACTTACAAAATATATAAATGTTCTACACTCCGCTTTAATGGAATTAGTTCTTTGACGCAATGCTCCAAAGAGAGCTTTATTCATTGCGCGTTAACCGAAATAACTCCAAAAACTGTATTTGTTCGTTTTCTTTTTCTTATTTGTATCATTGTTTGGGGATCTTTCTGTTGAAAATGTGTCGAGTTAAATCGTATACATATACATGCACAGTGCGTTAACTGAAATGCAGGTATTAGTTACCCGCACTCCAGAGCATGTCCATTGATTGGTTCATTTTGTCTGGGGTTTACATATTGTAACGACAGAGAAAGGGATAGCGATAGAAATATCATATTTCGATGCTCGTTCATTGGTTACTGTTTTCTGTGGTTTCATATTGTGACATCATGGAACGTGTTTTAATGTTTGACTTTGATACAAAAGAGAAAGAACACCAAAACACTCGGCAATCTGATTTATACTCGGGGGCTACGCCCCCTCGTACAAATCAGATAGCCTCGTGTTTCGGTGCTCTTTCTATTACATATCTGTCACCAGCGTGTATAGACCCGCTTGCCTGTTGGAAATACTGCAATTCCGGTGCTGTATAATTTGGAATATTATACATGTAATATTTCTTATGAATATAAATCTAGATAGTAGTAGCGGAAATCTGATAGTTTTGTATAGATTTGCAGATGAAATATCATCTTTCTTTATTTCAGTCATATATACAAACAATCAACAATATCTTGGATGAAAGTACAACACAGACGTGGAAGGTGAACATAAATCAGGTAATTATTATACGTATCTTATCTTTTCACGGCAATAAATTTGTATAATAGATTTATCTTGTTTTAAATGTAGATATTAACATAAACTCGACAAATGTGGGTTTGTTTGTATGCAATTTTAGCTTCGCGGTTGTTTACCTGATGGATGTATTGCTGTACCCGACTTAACTGAGTTTTCGTAAATAACTCTGCTGAAAGCAAGTAACATTTTGCTAATATGTTGTTTATCGAAGTTTCAAGTTTTTTCCGGTGTCACGACTATTTTTCGTCATTCGACACCAGTACTGTTCAGTTTCAGGCAGCGATTCAAATCAGCTTTCAACTTTCACCATTCAGGCTTAGATAATTAACTTTAAATAGGCATCATGGTATACCTTATTTGGCCAAGTTGCGAATAGTGTTCTTATCTTGTAATATCTTACACAAAAAGGATACGGGACAGACATTGTTCTGACCATGGTATGGTTTATTCATACAGCTCCAGTCGCTATGTCATGTTTTATATAAACAGGTTCCTGGGCAGGCATTGTTCTCGTCATGGTTTGTTTTATTTAAACATTATCCAGGGCAGACATTATTACAAAACATGTATCGTGATAGACATTGTTCTGAACACGTTATGTTTTATCTAAACATTTCCTGGACAGATTTAAACACTTCCTGAACTGATAGCGTTTCCATCATGATAAGTTTAAATTTACCATAAACAAGTACTTGGTAAGACATTGATCTAATTATGGTATGTTTTATTTAGACAGATTCCGTGGCAGACACTGTTTTGATTATGTTATTTTTATTTAGACAGGTTCCAGGGCAAACATTTTTATGGAGTTGGTTATGTTATTTTTTATTCAGTTTTATTCAGACAAATTATCTGCAGATAATCTTCTGATCATGTTATGTTTTATTTAGACAGGTTCCGGGGCAGACGTTGTTCTGAAGACAACAGATCGTTTTGTGGAGAAGATCTTGACAAAATCCTACAATTTCACTGCTGAGATATCAAAGTCAAATTTATGTGCGCTTCAGTTTTTAAAATTAGAAAATAACTCATTATCAAATTAACTTCACTAAGAAGTATTGTGTAGAAGTGAATTCTTGTAACACTAACGTTTTTAATCGGTATAATTAATGTTACCGAATTATTAAACTTCCTCTGTTATAACTACTTATATAATACCAAATGCTAAGACGTTTCGTATAGATTAGTAGATCAATCGGATAATGATACATTTTATCATTTTAAATCATGTTGCAGATTTAAAGATGGCGCCTGTACAATCCTGTAACGGAGCCTTGAATTTCCCTGAACATGGAAAAGAAGGTATCTCTGAGTGGGCTAGATCAAGGAAGGACAGGCTCGTAATTGACTGTGACAGTATGTTACGCTAAATAAAATGTATAAAAAAGTATGATTGTAAAATATCTATCGCAAACAGTAAATGTTTCGCCTGTTAAACATAATAATATTTAAGATGTAGATTGTTTACAAATAAAAGCGTAATAAAGGTTGCAGGAGTAGAATAGATTCGGCAATTTTTACAACTTTTATGGAACACCTTGGTATCTTGAAACATTTGATATTTTTCAAGGTAATATGTGAATATAAAGATCATTTAAATAACGCCCATCTCTGCTATTCTCCTTCGATTTGACTATTTGCAACAAGACGCCTTGTCAGGGAGGATATCAGACATACGAGGGACGGTCAGAAAATATCCGGACTTTCCATGCTCCTCTCTTTCTTCGTGCAGCAATATACACACATTATATATTGGTGAAAACTACATTCATTCGCCAATAACGTGGTCAGTTTATTTTCAATGATAGTTGTGTTTACACAGTATTTTGTCCTCTGATATATGATAGGTGTTTCGTCTATCATGGACTCTTTGTTAGAGGAACAACGCTCTGTAATAAAGTTTCTGGTTGCAGAAGGTGAAAAGCCCTGCCACATCTTTCAGAGGTTTCTGATAATTGTGTATCACGTCCAACCTTCTACAACTAGGTTTCTCAGTTTCGTGAAGGCAGAACAAGTGTTTGTGACAGGCCTAGGACTGGGCGGCCAGCTGAGGCGGTGACCCCAACAATGGTTGAAAATGTTAAAGCTTTTGTCGACAAAAATCGTCGAGTAACTTTGGAGGAGGTAGCCAACAAGTTAAGCATCGGTAAGGCATTGGCACACAAGATTTTACACGAACACCTAGGCATGAGCAAGGTAAGTGCCAGGTGGGTGCCTAGACAGCCGTCCGCAGGTCATTTGCAACCAGAGTAACCAATGCAAAAGAACATTTCAGTCGTTTTAATCGTAACGGAGATACGTTTTTGAACCGCTTTATCACTGGGGATGAGATGTTGGTACATTATTCCGAACCTGAGACAAAAGCTCAGTCAAAGCAGTGGAAACGAGCTGGTTCCCCACCTCCTTAAAAGTTTAAGCTGTCTTCTTCGGCTGGCAAAGTCATGCTTGTTGCCTTTTGGGATTCACGAGGAATGATACTTACTCATTTCAAGCCAAAAGGTCGAACTGTTACCGCCAAGTACTATTCTGAAGTAATTCTGAAAAATCTCAGAGAAAAGCTGAAGCAAATGCGTCCCAGGTTAGCACAGTAAAATGTCCTCCTTTTTCACGATAACGCCCCCTCCCATACCGCCGCAGCTGCAGTGGAGGTTATCAACTCTTACAAATGGCAATTGTTGTCTCACCCTCCTTATAGCCCAGACCTCGCCCCCTGTGACTTTTATTTGTTTCCAGAACTGAAAAAATTCCTTGCTGGAAAGAAATATATGACAGAGCGGCTTTGATATCATCTGTTACACAGTACCTAAAACATAGGTCTACGTCATGGTTCACAGCGGGAATACAAAAGCTCCCACGAGGATAGCAAAAGTGTGTAGACGAAGGTGGAGAATATTTTGAAAAAGAGTAGAAAGATTTTTTTTTAAATGTTGAATGGTTTTCGAGAAGGAGTCAAAAGTCCGGATATTTTCTAACTTCCCCTCGTATATACATCCACGTGACTTGACGTCGTATAAAGTTCGCTCTCAACAAATAGAAGAAACTTCCAGATATAAAATAACCCTTTTACAGCCGCCTTTCTTTTAATCATAATAAAAATGATTTTTCTTACAACTTTATTTTTTTCTCACTAGCTCTACTATTTTATTTGGTAAATATCAATACACTATATGATTGCAATTTTGCAGGTACCGTTGAATCCTTTAGTGGAATTATGTACAGAAATGTATCACTGATGATATCATCATCAACTAACAACACTAAGTAAGTAAAAGGTTTTCTTTAAATGTCTCATCCTGATAAATTGATCAACATTTACGTCAAAATGGTCTGTTTGTCTATGTGATAAAACCGTGCTGCTTTTTATCATTGTACTCAATTCGTTTTGTAAATATCTGTTTGAAATATGAATGTATTAAGTCATATCTTAAAAAGCATACGCTTGATATCTGTAAATAATTTAATGTTTTTATTTTATTTTCACATCAGATCCGAAGATCTTCAGCTGAATGCTCCAGTAATATCATTTACATTTTATCCGAACATTACGCGACAACTTGTCAGCCCAGTGGAAATTCAATTTCAGTTGTATAACGTAAGTCATTTTTATTCAAAATTAACACCATGCAATTTTATATAAATGGAAGGGCATTGTAATACATGCATTCATTGTTCAAATACATGTAACTTATATTTCTGAAACATAATTTACTTTGGCTAATTTTTCATGAAACTACCGGTATACTGTAAAGTAATAAGGCCATCATTAAGGGATCCAGATTTGTTTTTATTATTTATTAATATGATTATAAGTTTGTCGTTTTGGTACCGATATGGTTGATTAACAACTTTAACAAACAAAAGCTTGAAATAAATCACCAAAACGTTATATTTTTGTAATATTTTCATAATAAATTTATTTTAGAATGTTTTTCATAGGGTTTCGATGGAGATAAAAAAAATACTGTCTAGATAAATTTTCGTAAAACATAATTGTTTCTTAAATTCAGAATACGTTGGATAATGCGAGATGTTCGTTTTGGAAGGAATCAAAAAGGTGAAGTATCAAATTAATGCAAATGATCTAAAAAAAAAAAAACTCCGCTGATCAACATTTATCTTTGTATTTCGTATAGTGGCGTCTTTCGACCAGCAGTTAAACATTTATTCCCTAATTAAAAATGTACAACAGATATTTATCTGATTAACAAGTGATATTTTTCCCTTAAATTTAAGATGACGAATAATTACTTTACTTTCAAAAACACTGAAATAAGTACCTGCTATCAATTTATCTTATAAACATGAAAACTATCAAGTTACATGTAGTATGATATAATGTATGTGATAATTAAATGTTTAACTGTTGGCACAAGTGTGTTTTCCAAAGCACAGAAGGCGCTGAATTTGTTTGGGTCTCAGAATGTCAGAAAGGTGAAGGTTGTGAGATTATAAACCAATTTGTTTTTGTATAGTGCCACCAGTGCTTTCCAGCGTTTTAATTGTAGTTAATTGGCTTTAAGACTAATTGCAACACTTATTTTCAATTCAATGTTTATTTGATTTAAACAATTTGAAAAAAAGAGTTGCCTTCCTAGATTTGAACTCCAGACCCCTCGGCCACGGTGAAGTTACATGTAAAAGGCCTGAAGAAAACCATATTATTCTAAATTAGGGTTTGTAACCCTTATTATTTCGGCGCTAACTGTTTTTAACACAGATGTTTATAATCATGGAGCTTATTATAAGCATGTATATCTATAAAGGATAAAACAATATTAGAAATTTTCCAACAATACGGGAATTATTTTGCTTGAAAATTAAAGCGCCTGTCATTTGACCATCTTTACGCAGTGATCTCCCCTGAATTTTTTCGTCGTTAGTGTACATATAAAGGTAAGTAACCGCTTCAAAAAAACGGCCTACTTTCGGCGTTTGCAATTAACAGCATCAGACTCTGAAATTTCGCTTCCATTATTTGTTTGTCTGACGGACCCAAACAAATAAAAACAAACATGCGGTTTATTTGACCAGTTCATAAACAGGTTTAAGACTTTTATATCCCACCAATGTGAGGGTTATATAGCAAATGTCATTTTTTACACGGTTCAAATATATCTGCGTAATTATCTATGTAAATGAAATTCTTTTATTTTACGATGTGAGATGAGATGAGATAGTTATTGCGTGGCCACGCGGTGGTTACGTACGCAGGCGAAAACCAAAACGTTGTCACGCGATATGCTTTATGTACGCAATTATAAGTTATAACTATCGCGTGGCTATGTTACAGTAATAGTTCAATTGATGTTTTTTGGTAATCCATAAATTGGCAAGTAAAAATACTCCGACAAAATTCGACGTAACAAATGTAATGCAATAATTGTTTCTTGTTTGTGAAGCGAAACGTCACTAGGTTATTGGTCAGATGAAGGGTGTCGACTGAAAAAATATGACAAGGACGAAGAAGTTGTTGTGTGCGTTTGCGACCATCTTACTAATTTTGCTGTGCTTATGAGTCCATCCACACACCAGGTATGTAGGTATTATTATACTATACATTTTAGCATATATCATCGCTTGCATGAGTGGGAATTAATCATTTCTGCTCACAAGTTTTTATATATGATTAAGTGACCTAGCTTGAAATAAGACATAGAATCTGATAGTTTGTAATAGTTGGGTTAAGAGGTTTAAAGTGCATTTTGCACTTAAAGTATTATGAGTTCATAAAAAAAAGTTATAAATTTCCAAAAAAAAATATTTGAAACGAAACATCTTCGGATGACAAATAAAAAAGTCAGTAATGATTTAGTCAATACTTGCATTTATTTAACAGTCGCCAAAGAAAGTATATTAATTTTCAGACCAAATTTTTTCGCAAATAAGCTAATGTTATAAAGCGAGGATGTAACTATTTAGGAACCCGATTTTTGGCCACTTATGCGCACAAATGACTAGCTCTATCGGTTTACCTAGAATGTCGTAAAATGACAATACTAGTGTTGCTGTACCTTAAAGTTCCACAGAAAGATAATATTTACGTATCAAGTATTCCTGATCAGTGAGGAAAATTTAGTACTTGACAATTACATGTATATCAAATCTGAATCTTGATTACATGTCTTTGTGCCAATATTATCTCGAGTAAAATAGTTATAACAACAATAAGTATTTCTTACACATATCACATGAACTACAAAACACCTGGCCTTTCGATGTCATATTAAAGAATAAAAGATAACACATCCGTAGTATGGATACAAGTGAATATACATTTAGGCACACTCCAAACAATTCTTAAACAATTGTACAAAACCCTTTACATATGTACTCTATATTTTCAGATTAAGGGGGAACATAAGGAGGCACTGTCAATCATTTCCATGATAGGATGTATAGTTTCCATGATATGTCTTGTGCTTAATGTAGCTATACATGTATTCTTCTGGAGGTTTGCAAATATTTATTATAAGAGAAAAAAAGATAAAGAAAAACAACGACTGAAACAAAAATGAAAAACGACGAAAAAAACACAAAATAAACAAATAAAAGAAATAAAGAATTACAAAAGTAAGGAGTAATAAGCCTTAGAAACAAAGAGATATTGCAATGAAAAACATCAAACTTAAATAAAAGAAACGCCACAAACAAAACAATAACACCATCACAGTATTAACAGCCACAGGAGCAATAGCAGCTGCTACAACAACAACAACAAACAAACAAACCTAAACAAACAAGAGCAAACATATGCAAAAATATGAAACAAAACTTCTAAAAAACCAGGACAGCAATAACAACAGCAACAAAAAGAACAAAGAAACACAAAAAAAATATTTACAGTCATTATTTAATACATATGAAATAAAGCAACGAAACACACATTTCCTACTACATTCTTGTATTGAACTTGTCCGGATTCAAATTTTGAATTGTAAACAGAGAGTTTCCATTAAAACCCGGTAAATGTGCACAAGTCGTACTTGAAAATTGAAAAACGTGTTTAGAAATTGCTTGAATTTTGGCATTTTGTATATGTATGAACCATTGGTTAATGTTTTAATAGAAACAAGTTATCGTGATGAATCATTTTGTTACTGTTATAATAATACACCTAGATCTTGATTGATCTTAAATAAACATTTGAACATATGTTTTCAGGTTTATTGAATCGGTTCGGTATATCATTCATGTGAACTTATCCTGTTGGTTAATTGTTGCATATATCCTGTTTCTTGCTGGGATAAACAGAACAGAAAACAAGGTAATGTCACACACTGGGCAGATGAAGTGCTCTCTGGTAGACTTATCCTTATAAGTTGAGAGTTTCAATCAAATGCTAATCTTAATGCAGCATGCCTCCAGAATCATTCTATTTTTTCATGGAAATGTGGAAAATATGTTGTATAAGAGTAAAAGATTGTGTAGCGTGCAAAGGAAGTCATTTTCACATTCACATAAGCAAAAATAGCCACTACTGAGTAAGTCACGCTGTTGAAATATGGTGAAATACTGAAAAATTAGTCATTAATTGCACATAATATGTAAATTAACACTTGAATTTGGAATCTTTTTCTTTTTCTTAAAATTTTATATTCAAATTTGATTTCTTGAAATGTTTTTCTTTCACTTTATTCTTAAATATTTTAAGCAATAATTTAATAAAACTTTGCAGCCATCTGAATGGCTTTTGACAAGATGATAATTATGCTTTTTTGCTAGTGCTTTTGTATGTGTAGAGAAAGGTATTATATTCTAGTATGAAAACACCATTTTTGCTAGTTGGTTTTCGCTTTGGTTAATAGCATCAATTGTTTATTTTAACTTGCATGCCTTGTAGAATTTTTGTTAGAGAATTGCTTTCTCGATAGTGACGCTTTATTTGAATTTAATATGGTTTTCATCAATGTGTAGGACATTTGCACAGCAATGGCGGTACTTCTGCACCTAGTGTTTTTGATAGTTTTCTTCGGAATGCTGGCGGAGGGATGTTACCTTTCATATACGGTTCTCAAACCACTAAGCACTATAAAACCTGGGATGCCACTAATGATATCGTCATATGGTATACATGTATATGTAAATCAGTTGATTTTTAAGATCATATCTGTTAAACTTTAGTTAAACATTATATATAAATATTAATATAATGTAAATATTAATGAATATAATAGTTAATAGTATCAGTACTATATTTTTGTTATAATTGTTTGATTTTGTATTGACATGACCGGGCGGTGGACACCTGCAGTAGGGCTTGGGCCCACGCCTATAGTCTGTGTGTGTGTGTGGGGGGGGGGGTAATGTGATAAAAATGTTTATGCATGTTGTAATGAGATAATTTTTCAATGTCATTTATTTATTTCCAGTCCTCGCAGTAATTATTGTGGTGATATCTGTGGGTGCATCACAGCTACAGGGATATGGAACCGAACAGGCGTAAGTTTCCGTCATTTTATGTAAAACTTTTCTAACGGTAAATTGCGTTTTTGCATTTTCATTGATGATGGATTTGTGATTACTTAATATCATAAATGTGCTTAACATACTTTCACATATTTGTATTGGTCGCTTTATAGAAACTTAATGTCATAAAATCTTATTTTTGGAATTATATAATTGTTCGTATATTGAATTAGAAGTTTTATTGTCCTCAACAAATAAAATCGTCATGCATAAATGGAGTTTTAGGACGGTTCCACAACATTGCAGAAGTGTTAACCTAAAAGGGTGCATCATTTACAAGAGTATGGTCCAAAAGAACATAAATCGTGAAAACATGAGTAACAAAATAGATAAAAAGGCTAAATTTATGTTGATTACAACCAGCACCATTTCCAACAATAGTAATTAATTATTGTATGATACATTTTTTTTAGTTTCTGTACTGTGTGTTTAATTTTACGTACTTATGTATTGATTACCTTAAAAAAAAAAAATATGGTCTATGTTCAGGTAAAATGTTGGTGTTTTTTTTTCTTTCCTTTTTTTTTTCAGCCCTAAAAAACCCAGGAAAAAAAAAAAAAAAAAAAAAAAAAAAAAAAAAAAAAAAAAAAAAAAAAAAAAAAAAAAAAAAAAAAAAAAAAAAAAAAAAAAAAAAAAAAAAAAAAAAAAAAAAAAAAAAAAAAAAAAAAAAAAAAAAAAAAAAAAATTTTTTTTTTTTTTTTTTTTTTTTTTTTTTTTTTTTTTTTTTTTTTTTTTTTTTTTTTTTTTTTTTTTTTTTTTTTTTTTTTTTTTTTTTTTTTTTTTTTTTTTTTTTTTTTTTTTTTTTTTTTTTTTTTTTTTTTTTTTTTTTTTTTTTTTTTTTTTTTTTTTGCTAACCCCTTTGAATTTGCTTTAAATTTTAATCTATTACCATTACCCAAATGTACCAAAGAGAGTGGTAACTCGTCAAATTTGTTATAAATTCAGTTGCACCGTGTGTATTCGACTTGATTCTTTTCTCTTTTCTATTACAGACTTTTTGAAATGGAATATAATTAATAACATGTTTCCATGTCATTGGTCGCAATATTAATGGGCAGAAAGTAGTTTAACAAGGTTTTATCTGAATATGACCCCTTTTACTTGATTGTTATCTCTTTTCATTTGTGGTCCCAATTAGTAAACCCCAGAAAAAATGAGCCAATCAACGAGCAGTGAGTGCGGGTAACTGATACTTGTACTACAGTTAACGCACTTTCAATAGTTAAGTCTCCAAACTATGATTAAAACTTATTTCATATTTTTTAACGTTTTTATGTAAATGATATTCATATATCTAGATATGTTCCAGATGCTGGTTATCGACTGAAACTGGATTGATATGGGCATTTATTGCTCCGGTTGTTGTTGTTATAGTGGTATGTATATTGTGTGACTGTATTATTGTATAACTGTATAGTATTGTATTTGCGAAATTTTTTATGATACAAGATACAAGAAACTTTATATAAAGTCGGTTTGCATATTACAAGAAACATTAGCTAATAAGCTATTTACCGACAATAACAAAGACATAAAACATATTTACTAAAATAGAACAGATCTGAAAGTAAAAACATTTAAAACTAGTAGCAACTTAAGGCATGAAATAAAAGTAGCAAGATTGAGAATAATCATACAATAAGATGACAAATTAAAGCAAAGTATAATGACATGCACTGTACATAAATGGTATAAAACTGTTAATCTAGTATCTATTATTCCATTATTATATGGTTGATTCTCGAAAAGGTAGTAATATAGAATGTCTCTGTTATTTAACACACACGAATAATGGACGGAAACAGAATAAAATGTTCCAGAGCAAAATATTATTTTGCTATTTTAAGTGGGGGTTTATCCGATTTTCAATTACTTTGTGCATGCACTACTCGCTTTTAGGCAATTTATTGCCATTTTTATTTATACAAGCATTTTGAAGTATTCTTTTTCAAAATCAAAACAATGTTTTTTGCATTAGATTTATACATGTAGCTTTATACACTTTAAACTTCACAATAGTTTTTTTTAACTGGTGTCTTTATTGTTGAAGCTATGTACATTTTTAACGTCGATTTTTATGGGACAATCATAACATTTTGTTATTTTTATAATGCTACGTTTTACATGATGGGTGACCAAGTGACATTTGTTTACGCTTACAATGGGTCACCGCAAATAGTATTTGCTAATTTTTCATTTTTTAATATTTGACTTATAAACAAATACCATGTTCCAGGTAAATATTTGCAGATTCCAATGGTAAATAGTTTTCCATTATAATAGTTTTTGTATTTTCTGATCGCAAGATCAGTAAATACATAGCTAACATCCACGGTCTAACACAAAATTTCCTAACAGACCTAACAACGCAAAGTAGTTCTCACTCAAAACTGCTTAAAACCAGCAATTTAAAAGACAGAATAATTTTTAATGTAGGCATTTACGAATTACAGTGCATTGAAAGTTCAGATTAGTCAATAGAAATATGAGGTTACAATCACAAATTTCACGGATGAATATCATTTTAATCAATGAAAATGCTATTTTTAGCTATGTCGATTACTGAATACTCCAGGGCGTAGTATACAAATAAATCTGACTGCCGAGTAGTGGAATATATACATGTCGGACTGTTTTGGCGAGAAGATTTTCGCTAAATTATTTTTATCAGTGTTAAACAGGTTTATCGTGAACAAAATACCTCGAAATTGATAAGGATTACAAACACGAAATGGAATTCTCAATTGAGAATTACAATGTATTTGTCTTTATTCAGGCTACATATTACGTAGGAATCCGGGTCAGCTCGGCCCTAAAACGTACTCGGCCCCCGAGTCAGCTCGGCCCTATTCCAACTCGGCACGGGTCAACTCGGCCCACTTTTCAAATTATTAATATTTTTGTTTTTGTTTCCCTTTTTTTTTAATATTACTTTACAAACAAAATGCATCTAAGGAAACACATTTTAATTAGATCTATATTAATTTTATCGAATCTGCAAGACAAATAAATAAAAAAAATCTAAATGTACTTATTTTGGCAGAAGTGTAATTATATAATAATAAGATATTTCTCATTATTCATTTACCTTAACAACATGCAAAGCAAAGTTAATACTTTATATATATTTTTGTAAAGTGGGCCGAGTTGACCCGTGCCGAGTTGGTATAGGGCCGAGTTGACTCTTTTCCTTACGGATTACTTCACCGTGGTGCAGGGGTATCGCGCTCGTATCGCGCTCGTTTAGGGTGTGAGAGGCAGGCCTAAGGTTCAAATCCCAGTCGAGGCAACTTTTTTATGAAGTGTCTTTTTTAAGGAAGTAGCCACGATATGCAAGGATAAAGTGTGGCTGTCATAAAAAATGATTTTTGATGCAACTCTAGTCATGCAAAATTCCATATGTATCAATCTCAAACTGTTATAGAAAAAAAACTTAACGCAGTCGCTGCGTAAGATAAATTATAGTATATAAAAATAAACCTATATAGGAAAATACATACAGATAGTCAGTACGAGATTGCAAAGATCAGAAAATACCACAGAGCTTGCAGCCCATTGATTTTTACTGTAATCGTTACGCTTGCAGAAGATTTTTTATGCTGCAACATTTTGATTACAATATGTGTCACAAATTCTGCAGGAACGTCGGGAAATGTACCAGAGCTACATTATGAATCGGAGAATAATTGCATGGAACATGATGTATGATAATAGTTAAAATATTAAAAATTAAATAGGACAATAGAAAATACTTTTTGTCATGATCCGATGTTACCTTAAGCAAATGTCACGTGATGACCAATCATGATTTTAATGAGTGCGAGTTTCAGTTAGTCATGGCGTTTAAATTATCTATATACACGACTGCTGTAAATAACATTATGAAATCTTAATCAATCAATCAATCAATCAATTTAGAATGAATTTATTTATTTATAAAATTGATTAATTAATTAGTTTATTGAAATTAATTCATAACTTCATTGATTGATTGATTGATTAATAAAGCTAAGCTTAAATTCGGAATAAATTAATTAATTAATCAATCAATTTATAACTATATAAATCTATTATTTTATGAACATGATCTTGTTTTCAGGTTAATTTTATAATTGTTGTCTTCGTGATTCGGACAATGTGTGGCACTACAGCAATGTCGAAGAAATCAAACAAAGGACGGGCAAAGTATGACAGTTCCTGCTTTATGTGTTTTTGTCAGGCGTGTTATCAATTGTACTAAAATAAATAAATAAATACAAAGCCTGTCCAGTAAGTTATGGACAACAGCGTTTAAATGCAAATACTCAAAGGACTTTTGTAACAAAATTTACTAATATTGAATACGCAATTTTTTAAGCAAACAGGCCAACAAACCAGCATGATATCATTTCATTTGAATACACAGAACAAATTATAATACTACCTGGTAAAGCAATGTGACCCACAGTCAAACATCATCGAGACATACCGATATTATCTTTTAAAATCACAACACACTCAGTTGTGAACACTTTAAAATTTCCTAGATACTGAGGGCTGTTTGGTATCTGTTTTCATTGTTATGTTTTCAATTCACTCCACTGTTAATGATCGCTTGACTACGGGCATCCCACATTTTGTCATCTGCTACATATTTCTTATGACACTTGTATAACAACGATCGTAAATAAATAAATATTTATATTGACGAACACTCACTTATACACATACTGTTGACTTTTGCAAATTTAAGCAACATATTCTGATGATAAATGAGATTAATTTGGAAACATTCTATGTAAGCTGAATCTGTGTAATGTGTTTGGAGACAAAACATCGCCTTTTTGAATCGCCGTCTCATATTGATTGGACCAAGAAAACAAGATCGTTTTCCATCAGTACTTTAATACTTTAATTAATGACTACTTATGTTAATATAACACCGTATATCATATCATTTCAGGGCAGCATTACGTTGCATATTGGTGCTCATGCCGGTGATGGGTCTGACCTGGGGGTTTGGAGTGTTATCTTTTAATAGTGACACAATTGCTTTCCAGTACATATTCGCTATTCTTAACAGTTTTCAGGTATCCAACAATTAATTTAAATCTCATCAAAATGCAACATTCAAATGTAAATAATGAACAAGTGCGCTCCATTGATTTACTTTTAACCTTCAGAATTCGTGAAATGGGATACCTAAAATATAATTTGGAACAATCTAGTCAAAGTTTCAAGAACTATGTCAAATTGTAAAAAAAGATCTACAATCAGCAAATATGAATATGTAATCTGTCCAGGCTTTAACTGGTTGCAACACTTGTTTCACAATGTTCAGCGGTGCCCCGATAATTTTGATAATTGCCTCTTTACAGATCATAGGCTTAATGTCTGCTAAAAGTTAAAAGCACAAATATTTTAACGGGGTTTTTTTTAAAAATTTTTCTTATTTTTTCTTTTAAAAATCAAAAAAATGCGGCATATTTTGCCCGAATGATAATTTAATGCTTATTTATAAAGGTTTTTAACTAGTTATATATGTTTTATTCGGGAAACGAAATAATTAAGGATCATTGAAGGAATACTTTGATCTTGTACTTGTAATTGCTTTCATTTATTTTACGAACGCGGATCAAGCACGGCGAACCCGCGCCTTCAGCAAATCCAAGAAAAAGTAGAACACTCTAGTTAAGAACAAACTTCTAACCAAACATTTATAAAATACTATTATTAAAACTCCCTGTACGTCGTAGATGCTCTTCATGTTTTTAAGTTATGTGTGAGCAGATATCTTATTTATATTTGTACTGTTTTCGGGCACTGTACTATAAAACACATGTTTTCCTAAATGTGTGTGTTTAATAGTATAATGATGCCACCATTATCAAACGTATTCAGGTTTTAAATTATTTATTTCCATTATGTATTTATGAAAAAAATTATGAAAAGAATATAATTTACAGGGACTGCTGATCTTCATATTTCACTGCGTGTTGGACAAAAAGGTAACCGTTTCTAATTATTTGCCAAAATTGATATCATGACTTGATTTTGCAATCTTGGTTATATCATTTTTGTTCCTTTTAAGTTTCAAACCGCAAGACACACTGGACGCTTAAAATATCTAAAACATCATTTAAACTGCTATAATGAATCATACGTGATAGCATATTGACTTGGCGCGCTAACAAGTGACAAGACGATTCCTAGGTGTTTAGCGATCTTTTACTCCTTTCATTGTAGCTATGCTGTCACCATCTTCGTTTATAATGTTATTGCTCTCAGTGGAGCGACCTAACCGCATTAATCATAGCACTGCCGCAAAACAGTTAAAAAGCTAACCCAATAAATTGTATCTTCTTGCAATATGACTTCATGAAGTGAGTTCAATACATTATTCATATAAAATAAAGATGAGTTTTCAAAATTCTTTAAATTAGGAGTCCTAAATTAAAATGTGGATAGCTTAGTTTTTTTGGTTGGTCCAAAAACCAAACCGTGGTTAGCTAAGTACGTAACTTTGTTGAAAAAATAAACATTAATGTAAAACGACTTCAATTGCAGATAAAAGATGCATTTACAAAACAGAGACACAAATGGCTTCAGTCGACGCAGAGTTTCGGAATTTCTGGAGGAAAGAGAAGCGTAATTATCATACTTGTCATATTTTAAAGAACAGTTACATATTTTTATCTGTTTCTTTTATATTGTAACAAAGTGTGCTAAGTCAATTCAAAAAGTAGATTTTGAATAATTTTTCTTCTCAAATTATTCAATTGATTGTTTATTAAAATTCATAATTAATTTTTTTAACCGTTAACCTTCTAGCACCGAAAATAACTTAACTATTTCACCAGTATAGAGCTAAGCCAGCCTGTACTTCCGTGCTGTCTGACCAGTATCTATGCTAATGTTAGATCTATATCATTTGATAAACATTGAATCGCTTAGAATAGAACGTAAATTTTTTATTTGTATTTTATTATGCCTAGTGTCAAATTAGTTTATTTTCGTTTTTCTTTTAAGAAAACACAAGACACTTCCGTTTTCTGAAAACCAGGAAGAATCAATTCATCGATGGAGTATTTCAAAATGTGATGTGTCGGACATTTTGATCATTCAAGACTTGGCTACATCTAAAACAGCACTTTGTATATTAAAGCTTCTCGTAGATCATAATCAATCGATGAAGTACTTCAATGTTTGTCGGACGTTTACATATTCACAGATTCCATGAAGCCATCGATGCAGTATTTGAATCACCGATATTTCAAACTTTTGCATTTTCAAAAATTCAATCCACCGATAAAGTATTCAATTGTAACTTTATCCTGTGTCTCCATATTCACAACTATCCGTGGATACAGGTACTGAGTATTTCAAATATCAGTTTGGTTTGTCGGATGTCTGCATATTCTTAGCTTTCAATGGATCCATCGATGTAGTTTTTTTCAAAAGGAATATCGATGTGTCGGACATCTACTTATTCAGTATTACAAACCTTGATATGTTGGAAGACCACATATTCTCAGCTTTAAACAACATCTTGTGTACGTGATATTGCAATAACGCTTGTTTGTGTATTCATTTGATATGTTACGGTGAATGTTTCTTTTTTTAATATGTGGATTAAATGAAACTGTCTTCTTGCAAAGATAAATATATTTCCATCGCCGCTGTGATACATTTTGGATTTTAATCTCGAAAGGAGAATTTGTCATAGTATCTTGATAAATATTGCTTGTTACTTACAGTTTGTAATGCTACATTTGTTTAAGTATTAAAGATTATCTTTTACATTTAAAGGCTTGCTATATTTAAAGGTATCAAAAACTATATATGTATCACCATTTTTGTAAAAAATAGTTTGTTTTGTTTCAAATCCTTTAAAATAGATGAACAGTATTTATATAACAAAGTTGTGGCAGTTTCAATGCAACATGATTTTGATATTCACGGACATTTTGCATCATTTGAGAATTTAAAAAACCCCAAACAACAACACAATTTGAAACAAAAGCTAACAAGGGTCATTTGGATTACAGATATAAGTATATTTGATAGATTGATGAAAGCCGGTGTTATAGGAGCCACTGCTATAACTCTACCAGGATAAATAGATGTCTTCGAAACTTCACGAAGTGATTGATATAATGTTAACTTTTTTCTAAAATATGACAAACAATATTAACCAGGAGGAGTGGCGTTCAATGAAGCCTGTTCGGCAATAACAATGTATTGGTCTTTTGAGACCTAAGTTACATTGCATTTATTCTGAATCAACCCTCATAAAATGATTATGTTCATACAAAAATTCTAATCATTTATGTTTTTGTTTTTTATTTAAATCACAATTCACCATTGATGAACCATATATGACATGGACCGAGTGAATTCCTTTGAATTCCTGTGAAATAACAAACTAGGTCATAAATAATTAATTCTATGCATATATCATTGAATGAACGCACTTACTATCGTAGAAAAGTGTAATAGTTATTACACGCAAAATTGATATATGGTTAGTAATTAAAATATTTTCTCTTGGACATTTAAACTAACTAAGGAACTCTTTTGGAATAAGGAATTATTTTCAACAATCAATTTTTTAACACACCATACTAATTGTAGAGAAAGTCTGGTAAAAGAACTTCTTCTTGATGTTGATTTGAATTTGAGTATCATGAACAAAGAAAGTACAAAAAGAGTACAACCTATCTCTGAAAACGCACACGTAAAAACCCTAGATCTGCATCTGAATAATTTTCTATTGGAAACATACAGGGCGATTTTGATAACGCTCATTGTTATCACTGTCATGAGCCATTAAACATAAGCAACGCCGGCGCCTGTGTAAAATTGCACTTACTTACCGAAATCATGTTAAAAACGGATTTATAGTAATTTAAGGATACTGTTTTCTCTAGCAGGTTCACTGTCCATTGTTTAGATGATGGTTTCAATGTCATACATGTGTAAGATCGTTATCGTATGATTCTATGTTTTAAATGGATTACTTCCCTTCTTTGTTTATCATCTGGATTAAGGTTATCCACAAGTCATTATCAACATCATGCATTATATTTCAAGGGTCTGTTTAATGAACTGAAGCTTCTTTGTAATTTTTTAAGTATTCCAGATATTGCTATGGAACAACAGACTGACAACTTTGATATTGTAATCGAGGCATGTCTTTTATTATACTTGGTATGACATTTAAATGTTTATAGACGGAAATTATCCAACCACAAAGATTCATTTAACAATATAAGCGGAGACATATTATTTGATGCTTCTTTGTAAAATGCTAACAAAATATAATTTGAAATAAGGGCAAACTGGAGAAAGGAAATGTATATTAACACTTACAAAGATGTGCATGTAGGACCATATAGAAAGATCAAGAACATACATATTCAGCAGACTTCAACATTTGTACACAAATGTGTGTTTTAATTTTTATGCAGTCTTTAAAACTCAATATTAATATCATTTCCAATAAAGGTCTCAATAATAAAGCGTTACTAACAACTTTTAACGATTAATAAATTATAAAAGTCAAATGTTTTAAGGTATGCTTAACAATATAATACTAATTTTCATTTTGTAACGACATATTTGAAATCATTGGTATTTGTCATTATTGGAATTAAAGACCCAATTAGTCTACACAAAATGGTTTTTATTTCTGAGCAATATTTAATGGTGTCCTCCTACAAAAAAACACAACAAAACACACGCACGCACGCACATTTTGGCCATACATTTGTGGCTGAACCTTCTTTTTCTCCTTTGGCGATAAGTACATTTCAAGTGTTTTGTATGAAAGTCGTCATCTAATTAACATTTGCTATTTTCATTACAAATAATGTCACCTTTGTGACACTTACTTCCTATGCTAAGCATCTAATATTGTTACGTGCTAGTAACACACTGTGTACGTCCACGTAAAATGGGCAGAATTGCTTTCAAAACATATATCAGTATGGAACATAAGGGTACAGCCTTTATATGTGTTACATTGATGTTACGTACATGTTACTTAGAGTTATTCTTGTAACATAGTACAAGTGTTTCATTAAATTGCGCCCATTTTGTGTCCTATCTCTCAAATTATCACTTTGAAGGTCAACAAGTTAACAAAGATACAAAATTCCAAAGGCAATTCTCAAGCAAAAATATATATTCTACAATAGTGCTGCTTAAGAGAGATGTTAGATAAAGCTTTAACTCTGATGAAGGCATATGTGGCTTTCCATAATTGAAAATATAGCGCACCGGTGACCCGTGACGATTTAAAAATAAAAGGTAACCAGTGAATAACATCAAAATATGGCTATAATATAGATAACTATATTATAAAGAAACGTTTAAGTTGAACTTGATTGATTTTCTACGTCTAAGATCCGAAGCTCAAGGATATTTAACTCTAAATTATGTCGAAATCATCAATGAGTAAGTTGTATTCTGCTTACAAGTAACGGCTATTGAACTTTAATGAACAGACGTACGTAGATCTAGTTGGAATTTCTGGCCAAAACTGAACTTAGTGAGAAAATTTCAGAGCCTTAATATACTAGACCGTTCAACAACAACCAAAAACATAATAGAAACGGTAAAAATCAACCAATTTTGGTCGATTTCTTAAAATAATTGTTCAATTCGCCCATAGTCATTCAACCATAAAGGGTGAATCATCCAAGGATAGGCGTATCACCCAACCGTGACGGAAATCTTTCTAATTTGTAAAGTTACAAAAATAACATGAAAAATACTTAGGTACAATTATATAGTAAATAAAACAAACTTATTTCACTCTTATTATACCTTAAACTGCTATTTAAAGAAAGTTTCTGGTACATTTCTCTTTAGGTTTTGTTTAATTTTCGTTACTAAGGTGGCTGACCTTGGTAACACCAATAATGCAATAGTTAACATGGCCGTCAATAACAAATTAACAAACATTTGGTGCAAACTTACAATAAAATCGGAATAAATAACAATGACTTAGCAAAATGAAGTAAAAGTGATGTCTTTACACAATGAACTATTTAAAATCTTACAGAGGAATAAATTGAAGAGGAAACTGGCAAGTCGTGAATTCAAATAACAATTCAATTTGTACATAGGAAATCAATCAGTGCAGTGTTAAACCAGTTTCTTTCCTGTGTAATGGGCGTATGTGTTTTGTATTTGTTCTAAAACAGTGTCTATTGTGCATTTAATGACTGGTAAAAATAAGCAGCCGTAGAATTAAATGAAAATTGTGATGTCACACACATGTAAACAAAAATAAATGGTAAGTTACAAGTTATTGTTTAAAATGTTAATTAATTCTTGTGAGTGTTAAACACGGGTGTTTTATTACCCCCTCCTTTATAGGCTAAGCTAAGCTAAGCTCCTTTAGCAGCCTAAAATTAATATGAGTATTAAACCTTAATTTAATACAAAACTTAGAACTGTAATAATTCACAGATTAAAGTACTTTTAACACAAAGTTTGTATCTTACAAGATAAAGTCTGTTATTAAGAAGAAACTATTTAGGAATTCACTCGTACAAAGTACAAATACAGTAAGATAATAGACTTTAACTGTTCATCACGGGTGTTCAAGCTTTATTAAATAAAACTTATTTTATCACATTTATTTTAAAAAAATCACTAAAATGACTTTATATGTCGATACACATTAAAATTAAGAATGAGCACTTTGTAATTGTCATCATTATGCAATTCACTGTCAAGTTTTAACAAATTTATCACTATAAAACTTTAATTGAATTTTCATTTGCGACTGCTTCACTTTAAAGTTAATATGTTAGTCACATTTTTTGAATTAAAAGTCACTACTGTTTTGAAGTTCACTTAAAAGGTTTAAAGATGCACGTTTTGTAATAACGAATTGTTCCCAATTCCCACATAATGCAAAAACGACACCGTGGCAATATGTTGACCTACCAAAACTTCATGACAGGCGATTTTACCCATGTAATGCCTTAATCCAAACGCCTGGCAAAACATGTGCTCACTTTTATGCAAAAATAATGAGCGCAATAACACTGAACTTGTTTTTACAAGCAATGAATAATAAAAGTTTCTTTAAAATTCTAAAGAAACATTAATTGATTATAATGATAACACTTGTTAAATCATCAGCTAGATACGCCAAAAAGCTAAAACACTATTTTGTTTGGTTAAATATATACATTATTATTCATTTGTTCTTCAAAGAAAAGACCACACTTCTTACAGATTTGTTGCTTGACTTGTTCTACTTTAAGATGGATGATTTCTTTCCATTTGATTCAACTTCCTTTCTATTCATGATATCTCGCTCACCACCTTTTCTTGAGTTTTTTCTTGGCACCTTAGGGCCCTAGTGTTAGAATCAATCGCACTAGTTATCAATTTGGCGGCCTCCAGGATGGCTTTGGCAATTGCACTATTTTGCTGTAGATTTTGATTATTAGTTTGGGCTTCTTGTGGAGGTGGAGCAGATGATACTCAATCAAACCGAGTCTGCAATTCTTATGTTATTTTGTTGTGATTAATGCTTCCGATGGATCACTTTGTTTCCAGAATTTTGTACTTCACAACAGCAGGTGTCAAGTGCCGTATGGCAGCCGTAAAAAGTTGCCCCGTTCTTCACTTCAGTGTTGTTATATTTTCTGGTCCTTCGGGATCATTGATGCCAACACTATAAAGTTTTGAGAACTGAGTACCGCTCAAACCGGTGCTAGTTGGCGTGAGGGATGTTGCACTTATTCATTATCCCTCATGTACAGACTCAATCAAACCGAGTCTGCAATTCTTATGTTATTTTGTTGTGATTAATGCTTCCGAGGGATCACTTTGTTTCCAGAATTTAGTAGCTGTTGCCCAATGAGAGAAATTACGTCTGCGGTGTTAATAGTGCCTAAACCGGCAGCTTACGTTGTAAAGGCTGGAACATTGACCTTTGCTGGCTACCTGTCCGTGCTCTGTCCTGTTTTTGTTTGGGGTCCGCCTGGGCTCCTTGCCATTCTTGTTGCTGGGTCATATGGGGGTTGCGTTCATTGAACGCCGCCTTTCCTTGTTGATCTTGTTTATCATATTTGACTGAGGGTTTGGTTTGGAGTTGACGGATTAATTCAGGAAGTCTGTTGTCGGGTTGAAAGAAGCGTGGCTGGATCAGAGGTTGTTGTTGACAGGTACTAGTAGAGGTTGTTGAATTTTGCAGAGGCTGTTTAAAAACTGGTGATGTCAAGCTGGCAAAAGGATCGATCACAAGCCAACGAGGAATGGCAAGTCACCCAGAATAGATAATTTCATCCTCGTCATCTT